CGGAATAAAGTATGCACCTAGCCCTAGTCGTGACGCGGCGGCAGGAGCGGCCCGGAGGGTGCATGCTCGGGCCTCGGTGTCAGCACACCGATTGCCTTTCACCTCGTCATGTCCTGGGATCCATATAAGTTCCACTGTGGGGAAGCCCTGTAGGTCTCTCTGGGTGAGGACCTTGAGTGCCTTCGGCGAGACACGGCCTGCTAGGAAGCGACGCAGTGCTGCTTGTGAGTCGCTCATGATGGTGACGTGATCTTTTCCGAGCCCAATGGCCATGGCGATGGCGAATTCCTCTGCAATGGTCGTATTAGAGGTGCGCAGCGACGCCGTGATTCGGGTTCTCCCAGTTCCATCCACGACGCATATTGCCGCTGCATTCCGTTGATAGGCATATGTGGCCGCGTCTGTGTACAGGATATCAGCCCGTTTGCCATACGCCTTTTGGTAGAATCTTGCCCGAGCCTTGCGGCGTTCCGCGTGGAGCGTCGGGTCCATGTTGCGGGGGATCGCGTGCACCTTGATTTGGCTCCAGATGTGTCTCGGGAGGGGTGCCGTGGTTTCTTCTCTGTCCCATTGGAAGGGAATCTTGAGTGACTCTAGAACGTTTCTGCCCGCAGGGGTTTGGGCGAGTCGGTCTCGCTGAGTGGCAAGGTGGCTGTCCACCAGCTCCCTAAAAGTGTTGTGGACGCCGAGCTTGAGTAGCTTCTCTGTGGAGGTGTACGGGGGGAGTCCGAGGGCCGTCTTATACGCTTTGCGTATGAGGACATCTAGCTTGTCCTCGTCTCCCTTGGTGAGATTGAGATAGGGTGTGGCGTAGATGATGCGCGACACCACCAGGGCGTTAACCAGTTTGATCGTGTCGTCTTCCCTGAGGCCGTGCCGCCGGCTGGCGACCCGGTGCATGATGCGTAGAATCTGGGTGACTTGGTTTTGGAGGAGTGTGAGGGTATGGGTCGCCTTTCCGTCCTCCTGGAGGTGGAGACCCAGGATTCTGGCACGCGGAACCACGGGGATTTGAGAGCCGTCGTCCAGGAAGACTTGTATCTCGTCTCTGGGCTCCGAGTTGCGGCGGGATCTTGGCGTCTTGCAGACTAGGATCAATTCCGATTTGGCTGCCGAGATATGCAGGTGACCCTGGCGTAAGTACCGTTGAACTTCGTCGACTGCCGCCTGAAGCGCGTCCTGCTTCTGTCCGTCAGACCCGGACACGGTCCAAATTGTGAGATCGTCCGCGTACAGAGAGTGTTTGATGTGCGGGATGCGTTCCAGAATCGGGGGCAGCCCGCTCATTGCCAGGTTGAACAAGGTTGGCGAGAGCACCGCCCCCTGCGGCGTGCCCCTGTTGGGGGTGTTGATGACGTTCGTGCGGAGGTCACCTGCACCAATGGTGGCTGTCCTGTTCCGCAGAAAGTCCCGCAGGTAGTTGTACATTCTGGAACCGCAATTGGTGACTGTCAGGTTTCGGAGGATTAGCTGGTGGCCCACATTATCAAAAGCTCCCTTGACGTCCAGGGCGAGCACTGCTTGGGTCGTCGTCCTGGAGATGGGGTCGAGGATGTCCTCTTTTAGCTGTAGCATGACGTCCTGGGTTGACAAGTGCTCTCTAAAACCAAACATGGTGTGCGAGAACACGCCCGTTTCCTCCATGTGTGGCTGCAGCCGTTTGAGAACGACCCGTTCCATCAGCTTTCCCACGCAGGACGTGAGGGCGATCGGTCGCAGGTTGTCGAGGCAGAGCTCCTTCCCAGGTTTGGGGATTAGGATAATTTCCGAGTGTTTCCACTCATTGGGGAGCTCGCCGTTCTCCCATACCTGGTTGATATGTTTTAAGAGAGTCTGAACCGATCCCGCGTCTAGGTTACGAAGCAGCGTGTTTTGGACGCGGTCCTCGCCAGGTGCCGTATTACGGCCCAGGTCTTGAAGCGCGCTCCATACCTCTTCGAAGCTGAAGGGGACGTCGAGTTCTGGGTTTGGCTCGCCTTCGTAGTCATGATACACCTCGTCCGGGGACGAGCCGATGTACCGTAGTTTGAGCTGTTCGAGGAGGTCCTGGTTGGTACCGGGGAAGTCGCGCACAATTTTCTGGAGGTCCTGGCTGGTATTGCGTTTACTTTTGCTAGGGTCCAGGAGGTGTCGCAAGAACTGCCACGCGTCCTTGGTCCCCAGTTTTCCCTGGAGATCGGTGCACTTTTTGTTCCAGTTGGAAAGCGCCAGTTGGGTTGCGTACTCGAGCGCTTCCGTCGTGATTGCCGCGATCCGTTTCTTGAGCTTGCGGTTTAGCTTCTGGCGCTTCCAGCGCTTGATCAGACCGTGCCTTGCCTCCCACAAGTGGAGCAGGTGCCTGTCCACCTCGGGAGTGTCTGTTGTCAGGTTGAGAGTTTTCGTATAGGTGTTCTTGTCGCACACTAGGCGCTCGGTCCAGCTGGCAAGGGAAGCATCCTCGTGCTCTCGCTCGCTGTGTGTGGCCGTGCGTGCTGCACGAAACCTGTCCCAGTCTGTCAGGGCTTGTTTCCGGAGGAACTTTTTTCCTGGCGAGACGGCGATGTCCACTTGGGCTATGGCGTGGTCGCTTCCCAGGTTCACCTCGAGGTTTGACCATTCCGACCACCGTTCGCATCTCGTCAGCGCGAGGTCCGGGCACGTGTCGCGGGTAACACTGTTGCCCGTCCTCGTGGGCTGCTCCGGGTCGGTCAGGATAGAGAGGCGTTGTTGGCAGATTAAGTGGTAAAGTCGGGTGCCCTTGGCCATAGAGCGAGTGTACCCCCAGGCCGAGTGCGGCGCGTTAAAGTCGCCGCATGAAGATGACCCTAGCATCCCTCAAGAAGAGGGAGCACTGCTTGGATTATGGTAGTAAGTGTCTTTGCCCAGGTTGATTCGACGCTTTTAAGTAGGCTGAGAGCGATCTTGACTGCGGCCTTGACAAAAGACATCCATTCAGGTGAACTGTCTCCAAAGGAAGTTGTTGGTTGCGCATTTGTGTCCTTCGAATGGCAGGGTTGCGGCTGAGTGGTGGGTGCAGAAAAGGTCTGGGATTTTGGAAGTGTTGATGCAGCCGGCATATTGCTTTTTTGTTTGTCGTGTGGACTTGAACCCTGGCAATCTTTTTTAGTTGCTTGACTTTTAGGTTTTGTTTGTTTGACGACCGTCGTGAATAGCGATGATGTAGTCACATCTTTTGAAGTTTCTTCCATGTCTTGCTCTCCTAAATTCTTGAGTTTAGTGACAGTCGGTTCTTTCGTGGCATTGCTGCCTGCTCGAGTAGATTCCATCTCCGGGAAGAGCTCATCGTACTCCAAGGCGGATTTGGCGACATGAAAGCCCACCAAGTTGGATTTTGAGTACGCCTGGATCTCCCCTAGTTTCTTTCGCTTCGAGCAGAAGCGTGCTGTAGCTTCGTGTTCTTGGCCGCAGTTGACACATTTCGCAGGCGTTGATTGACATGTGATGTCTGTTGATTCATGTGGTTTTCCACAATGTTCACACTTTTTGGGGTGTTTGCAGGTCACTCGCTTGTGTCCGAATCCAAAGCAGTTAAGGCACTGGATGGGCCTTTCTTGAAAAGGATGGACGGGATGGCGTACATGCCCCAGAAGAACATGGGTAGGCAGAATCTTGCCCCGGAAGGTGACTTTGACTGTGCTAGACTTCCCTAGGCGTCGGACGGCACCAACGTTAATATTGGACCTGAGATGCGAGGTGATCTCCTCATTAGAAAGCTCTTTGTCGACGTCCTGAATCATTCCGTTCACCGTTGCTCCAGCCAGTGGAGAGTATGACATCACCGGAATTCCACAGAGAGCCTTCAAGTTGAGCAATGTTCTTGTAGCTTCACCATTTCTGGTGTCAACTGCGATGACATTCAATCTGCTGTTAAAGCGAACCTCGTGAATGCCCTCAGGACAGGAGTTTTCTAGAGCTCTTGAGAGCTTCACACTACTGAGGGATGTTATTAACGTCTCAGTATCCGCAGGGGCGAACACAACAGTGAGCCCTTCTTCGATGGCTTTTGATTGGATTATTGTCTCCGAGCTGGAGTTGGAGTTGTTACGCCGAGTTCTCTTTCTTGATCTAACTTCTTGATACGGACCTCCAGTATCGTCGTCTTGTTCCATACAGTTGATGTCTGTAGTCGACGATGCAACGGAACCATCGGAGCAAATAGAGTGCCCATCATCTGGTTGCGACGTTACGCGTGCTTCGTTCCTTTGATGTTGCTCAGGAGTTATGCTTAGTGCTGTATTAGCAGCGTCAGGGACGCCCGCTTGGGCAGCTTCCATGTTCGTTCACATGGAACGATAGCAGCGGAAAAGGCTGCAGTTTTCTCTAAAAGAGATCTCGGCGATCTGCTTGATTTCTTTGTCAAGCACACTGAGTTTAGAAAAACTGCCCGTTAATATTTGATCGAGATTTTTGCGATAGAAGGTAAAAAATACGAAAAATTACCAGGAATGGAAGATTGGACGTCTTTGGTTAGAGCACTTCGTCGTCGTCCTCTTTAGATAGGACGTCGCCCTAGCACGATCCCCATCAAATGTGCAGAACACTCACACAACATTCCCAAAAGCTAAGTCTGGAAAACCCAGAATCCTGAAGGTTCACCTGTTTCCCCGCATCCTCAATATAATGGTTGTTGTTGTTGTTATTTTGTTCTTTGTTATTGTTGTTATTGGTGTTCCTGTTGTTGTTTTGTTTTAATTGGAACGGACATTAAGCGGTAAAGGCACGCAGATCTCAAAGTTCATCGAGGCTCCACAGTTTGCTAGAGTACCAATAATAAATAGAAATATGATATAAAATGGCGCCTTACTTCCCAGTTGGCACTACGTATTCTACTTCAAATATTGGCTTTAATAAAATCTCTGGTTCATTCAAATTACGAACCACATACGTGCAGACTAATCCTAACAGAATAGTTGGCAGTTGTGAGCCTTTTCAAACCAAGGGTTCGCGAACACGTGGCGTGTCTCTGCTCAACTTTTCACCGTCCACACCGGTCATTGCAGCGAAGCCAGCCGACGGACACCTCTGCGAGCAGTACAACCCGTGCATGCACAAGTGCCGCAACTCCGGCACCACACTCGTCTGTGAATGCCACGAGGGATACAGGCTGGAAGAGGACAACAAGAGCTGCGCAGGTGACTTGACGAGAGAAAAAATACTGGGCCCTATAGGGCCAAAAGTAAGGCGGAGAAGGCTTATAACGTCTACAAATTTATTTATTTTTAAATATCGCAGCCCCGCTGGGGGCTCTTGCAGGGGTGGGGGAAATCGCACAAAATGCAGAACAAATGAAACAATATGCGAGATTAAAAAAAGGAGACAGCAATGAATGTAAGACATAATCATTGGTTATCAATGGCAGACATACATTCACGCAAAGGGTAGTAAACAAATATCGTCGCTCAACGAAATACAAATTTCAATTGTACGAGCAACAAAAACTCTATCTAGAAAATCTGTACGCGGATGAAAAGGTGAATTGTTTAGGTGATGAGTAAGACGCGTTTGAAAAATTTAAGTACAACTTTAATGACGCGAAACGTACAAAGTTTATGATCCAGCACGGCTCACGCCTTAGCCGAGTACACTTATATCAATCTGTACCTCTCGTAATTAAAGCTCTCTTGGCAGAACGTGTGTCTAGATGTTCCCCTTAGACACTCCCCTCGCAAAGAGGGCAGAAAGTCAAAGTATGCATTCGTACACAGCGTTGTCCTTACTATCTGCTGCTAAATGTTGGCTGAACTCTGAAGGGCGTTCTAAAGAAAATTTCACACTACGCGATACTTGCAATCCGACGTGCATGTTTATGAACATTTGTTTCGGGATTACCATATGACAGTGTCGAAGACACTAATTCGTAAGTGTTTTTCTGTAAAAACAAATTATTACTACAATATCACATCTTCTAGATGTTCACTTTCGATCTCACCCTTAAAAGAACACCGATCTGTGTTTCAAACTTCGATTCGGTTAAGGGTTACTCGGGATGTGCTGACGAAGTTCTTTTTTTACATCAATGATCCAATCGAACAACGCTGTTTCACGATTCATGAAAACACGCGCGTGACGCACTGTGTTGTGTCAAGTTTGAATGCGACGCCACAGTCGAACTTTGCTCTCACTAACTTGCTTCAGAAGTTTCGGTTTCAGTTTCGGTGGTTCTCGCTCACTTTCTTGCATCACATTTCGGGAAGAAATATCTATTTGAAGATACCGATGTACATTGAACGTCATTTTAACATCCAAGTAAAGAATAAACACAATTATTTTGTACGTCAAAACTAATGTTTATAATAGTATTACGTGCCTGTTTATAAACAAGCGAAAAAACGACGTTATCTTTTTTTTTTTTTTTTTTTTCCGCGGCTTTTGCTCTGCGTGTGGCATCAGCACAATGGCTGCTACGTCGAGCACAAAGCGAGCGTGCCGTCGGGCGAAGTTCGTCATTGACTGTGTTTACATGGATGGGACCGTAGCATATCGAATCAAGATTTAGCTTTTTTTTATTTATTTATCTATTTATTTTGTTTAATCATTCATTTACCCTCAAGGCCCCGAAGGACATTGGTAGTAGATGGGCAAAAAAGAAAAAAAGTAGGAATGACAGGGTGCGTGTTATATTGGTCCCTGTTCGATTCGATGCTCCATGATCGCATTTCAAAATACGATGAGATATAAAATAATGGATGTGTGCAGGAACAATGCGCATGACGATTCATTTGCTCAAGTGTCTCTGCTCTCATCACCTTTTTTTTCAATCTAGTCGTATTTTGACCTTCGTCATTGGTTGGAATACCTCTGCTGTTCACCGTGATTAGAGGTCTCCGTGTTCTGCAAAAAAGTTCACTCCCATGTATGTACTTTCACATGAAGTGTATAACTCTTGGGCGCCGTGGCGTGGCCGGAAACTTTTTTGGTGCGGGGGGGGGGGGGGGGGGGGGGGGGGGCGGGGGAGAGGGGGGAGGGGGGGGGGGGAGTCAAAACGCATGTGTATATTTTTATGTATATTTTTGTATATGTATATTTGGCGTAGCCAGGGGAGAGCTTATGGGGCTGAAGCCCGGTAAGCTGTCCCCCTGGCTGCGTTACTGCGTTGGGCATTTTATCATAACATATAAGTCTTTCCTAATGCAAACTCTTTTTAATGTGCCTGCAGATGTGGACGAGTGCAGTGACGGAACCCATAACTGCGACCTTATGACGCACGAGTGCATGAACAAGCCAGGAGGCTTCGGGTGCATTCCCAGGAGCGATACCGACGTTCCCAGTGTCGACAGTGAAACCCCGCAGCAGTGCGAAGCCGGATTCAAGTATAACAGTGCCATGAAGGACTGCATAGGTACGACACTGCATTCCAAACAAAACTTCTAAATGTTTTTTCTTTCTTTTCAATTAAAAAAAAAAAAAAAGAAGAAGCTCGCTTAAACAACTACCTGTAATTTTTTCCTTTGCTCAGTGTGTATTATTTTTGTGAGCTGTGACTGGGATATGTAGGGCGTATTCTTTCGCTTCTTTCTTGTGTACCTTTTTGTTCTATTGGCGTGGTCGAACTTTGTATTTATGCTTCGAAGTGTATTTACATGAGAGCCCATTGTTCATTTTTAGGCACTGTCGGCTGTTGGACTGTTGTTTTCTACGTATTTGAAGTGTTTTTTTCACTCCTACCATGTCTCCAAATTGGAGTATGTAGTATTTATAAATAAATAAAAATAAACATATGCTTGAGAGGAGAGCTAAATAAATTTGGATAGCAATCTTATTCAGCTTTAGCCGTTTCAACTTAACCACTGCGCTGGCGTTATATATATATCTACCACCAAATCTATATCAAACCTCTTATTTCAGCTTCTGAAAAAAAATTGATTCAATGATTACATTTGTTCGTTTTTGCATGTAAAAGTGCTTAACCTATTGATACGAAGGGGAAGCAAACCGTAATTGAAATTTCTGCATGGCCAAGCCGTTAACTATAACACATAATGTGATTTTTCTATATATATGAAATTGAATTTTTCTTGATAGAATCTTGAACCCAACTGTATACATGAAACTTCATCCCTGCTACAAGCTGTCCACTATAACGAATTCCGTGCGTCCTTCTAACTTGAACGGTGCCCCAGACGTGGACGAGTGTTCCGAGGGCCTGGATGACTGTGGCATGGAGCAGCAGACGTGCCTCAACACCTACGGAGGGTTCCAGTGCCTCTCCAAGGACGGCAAGGAATGCCCGGCCGGCTACAAGTGGAACGAGGACTCCTGTGCCGGTGAGTCGCATACGTCAGCACAAGTACGTTCAGGAATGTTTTTTGAAACGGTTATGATATCGCCGAGGTCTTTGTCTCCGTACTATATATGCATATTTTTTCTTTTTTTTATGTTTATGATAATAAACACAGTTCACGTGCGTAATAGCAATTACAGACGTGTAGTCTTTGATGCCTAAAATACTCTATTAGCCATTTGTAAGGTCACATTTATTCTTCCCTTATTAGCCGAAGGGATTGAATAGATATCGATGTTAAAACGGTATTTGTTAAAGAACTTGCATTGATTATATTTATTATAATGTGAACCGTACTGTTTAAGGATTCGTTTTGACGGGAGCTTCTGATACCGTATCAGACGAGAAAAAAAAAAGTGTTAAAACATCCTTGTTTGAGCTCTATATACTCTCTAATATTTTCTATGAGGTGTGTTTGCCTAAAACTGACTTCAGAAAAAACCTATGACACAAACTAGTCACTAAAATTTCAAGAAACGAGGGGAGAGTCCCGATCGGATCTTATTATAGCTTCGCATTCATGGAGGTTTCAGCATAAGCCGATAAAAACGCCGAAGTACACCAGGAAGCACGGAGCATCATCTAGTATGTGCATACATTTGTATACCTTTTAGATTGTTCAGAAACAATGGTCGAACTAGACTGATAAAAGTGGCGTTGAGCACATTTGTTCCCGTTCGAGAGGACATCGAAAATAATCACCTTGTTATCGGACACGTGGTTTCCTAAAAACTTTATTGCGAAAGGATGCTTCAGATCGCGTTTGTTTATTTTCTAGCAAATAATTCTACCCAGATGTCCACGCACACACATATAAGCGCTCACAAACTATATTAACAGGGAAGCCACTACGATAACACCCGCATGTTTTCAAGTGAGACAATCAAAAGTAACGCGCCAGCTAGATTTTACATTTTGAGTCCCCCAGCCTAACACGTATCCTTCTCTGGAACATTCAGCGGGCTGTTGTGTGGGAACTCGGCAGTCATTCGATATTGTAACCCGCCCTGTTTCCCATGACGTGCTCGCTTGTGTCTTTATGGTGTACTAATAGTAGTAGTAGTGTTGATTGTTAATTTAAGCAAAGTGTGTCCTTAACGTCGGGCTCTCAAACGTCCGCTCGTTCAGACGTAAACGAATGCGCCGAGTCGCTGCACGCGTGCGATGCAAGGTTCGAGGAAGAATGCAAGAACACGGTGGGAGGCTACGTGTGCAATCCCATGTGCTCCAAGGGTCTTCGCTACAGCCACCACTTCGAAAAGTGCCTTGGTGAGCAGAAGAGTGTGATGCATGTCAAAATGCGAGTGTGAAAATACGTATCCGTAGCCCCCTTTGATCCGAGCAACCTAACAATTTCCTCAAAATAAAACAGAACGATAGAACTGTCACTTAACCTAGAAATCAAACCACGGAATTCACACCGTCGACACAGAATCTCAATGAGCTCACTTTTTTCAACTATTATTCAGTCACTTCCAACAATAACATAAGCAGCTAACCATTACATCTCTATATCGCATGCCTCCTCTCAAGATTCAAACTAATTAAATCAGTTCAGCTTAACCGACAAAAACAATAACAAACTCATCACTTTAACTCAACTGAATTCGACATGGTACATTACCTTAAATATACTTTCGGCTGTTCTGTCGTATACGTGGTTTATCGGTTGCTCGCGAGGTTAATAAAAGTCAACAATATTGTATAAGTTTCTTTTTGCGACTCTTCTTGAATTTTCCTTATCGCGCATAGTTTCAGCGCAAACATTTTAAGACTTCAAAATATTGTAAAACTTCAGCAGATGAGATAGGTCAAAAGTCTGCAGCTCAAGGTTGGGTTTGATTGCGTCTTGTAAAATTGGGAGACAGAGGCTTATTCTAAACGTTCGTTAATGTGCTCATTAACAAAATAGTGTTTCATAGTATTCCCTAGATTCGGGGGCGTTCGCCCAGGGAACCTTTCTTGATTATCCCCATGAAAACCCTAAAACTATTATTTCAAGCCGAACAACTGCAAACCCAGAAGAATTATATACGGCGATAATTGAGTATTAATTTCTACTGATTAAAAAATCAGGAACGTGCGTTGTTCATTATTGGGGCCGACATATCTTTCCACATTGGATCACATGGACAAGCTTTGCAATACCCTGAATGTCGACCCACCATAATGAAGAACCGTAATATTCTTCATGATTGTAATAGCGTCAGACGCATAGCACGCATCTCAATTGATTTTTTTTTTCATCTTAATAACTCTTGATATTTTATTATTAAAAAACGGCGTGTCAAGCCATCTTTCATGTGGCACCGTTTTACCTATGCTGGTTGTGCTTGAGCGTATTTTTATTATCGATATTCGTTTTTCTTCTTAATTTTGTGAAGATGTTGACGAATGTCAAGAAGGAACTCACACGTGCGGTTCAGTTCAACTCTGTACGAACACGGAGGGTGGTTTCACCTGTCGAACCACTGAACAGTGCCAGAAAGGATTTCGATACAATCGAGTCACTCGCAAGTGCGAAGGTACGTATAGTAAGCTTCTTTATTTTATTGCTACTCACCTAGAATAATTAGAAATTCTCGTGGCTACTATGTAGCTACAGAAAAAACAAACATTTTCTAAGAAGCCACACAATGACAGCCAACATATCGATCTTTTTTATCTATTTTTTAAGGCGAGTGTCTTGGTAAAACAGTAGTTTTCATTTTTTCACATCCCACGATATTTAATTTTTCAGATTCTAAATCACATGACCTCCTAGACAGTAGTTTAACACATTTTATTTAGTGTTTTGTGTCCTCTAAGCTTAAGATGAGGAGTCTTTTTATGGCCACTAACAATTTAGGAAAAGCGGGATGAGGTGAGCCCTGGCCCCATAATTATCGCTCCATAGATAATGAGGTTGCGGTTCTGGCCGATATGAACACCAGAGAACAAATCACGGAACAAAAGCTTTGAATATATTAAGCCGTACCCTGTTTTTCTTCAGGTGTGCGTGACTACGGGACTATATTATTGTTTGTTTGTTTTTCTTTTGCTCGTTTAAATTCGTTGTGCTTTCCTTCTCGTCAAGAACGTGGTCCGTAATTCAGGTGAGCTGACTTTAAGAGCGAGTTCTATAGATGGTGATGCCTTGAGTCGATTATCTGGGGAGTACTACGAGCGCAATCATTCATTCGTCGCTCTCTGTAACTACTTCCAGATATCGACGAGTGTCAAGAGCGAACGCATGACTGCAACCTCCGGTCGCAGGCATGCATCAACGTCAACGGTAGCTATTCCTGCAGAAACAAAATTCGCTGCCCCGCAGGATATCGACTCGACGAAAACACGCGTTCCTGCATCGGTGAGTCTTATACTAGAAAGCCCAGAACACGTCTCCCACTGGTGTGTTTAGCGTCCCTCCCACACATCCAAAGATGTTCCCATGTGGCAACGAAAGACGTCGCAGAAGCGTGTCACGTTGTCAGATGTCGCGATCCTGGCGGTTGGGGGCTAGAAGTCCTGGTAAATAGTACGAGTAAACGCCAGTTGTCGCTGTCGTCGCGGAGTTCCAACTCCTTGCTGGGTAAGTTGCCGTAGACTGTCAACCACCACTGTTGTGACAGGTTCAGGGTCGCCGCCAGTGACACCATGGCACATCTAGGCCATCTTCGGGCGTAAATAGAGGGACCATTTTTTATGACGTCGTAAACACACCAGTCGGAGACGCCGACGATCATCACGCTACCGAAGGCACCGCTACCCACGATCTTCCTTCTTCTATCCCTCCCCAGACGTTGACGAGTGCCTCCATGGCCTTCACTCGTGCTCCTCGCGGGAATCGAAATGCGTCAACACAGTGGGCAGTTACCGTTGCATCAAGAAGTCCCGGTATTACGACTGTCCCCGAGGATTCGTCTACAGTTCTCACCTTAAAGGATGTGAAGGTCGGTCGACTAGAAACCTACTGCTGAGAGCTTGAAGTTCTACGCTGCTGTCACTGCGACTGCTGCTGCGACTGCTGCTGCGACTGCTGCTGCGACTGCTGCTGCAACTGCTGCTACGCTGTTGCGACTGCTGCTGTGCTGCTTGCTGCTGTGCTGCTGCCACTTCTGCTGTCCCTGCTGCTGCTACTGCTACACTACAGCTGCTGCTCTGAATAAGCGTGCATGCAGTGCAGAAGAACCCCCTGAACATGGAGGCTGCTGCCAATTGCAAGAGTCTGGTGCTGGGGCTTGAAGATTGAAAAGACATGCAGATTTTTGCTGGCCTCTGATAGAAGGGCTGCCCGTGAAAATATAAATTTGTCTGTTGTACAGTTTTTTTTCCTGCCATGCTATCTCACCACTGGCAGGACAACTTACCACACAGACAACTAGGTGTTAAATACTCAAACGTTGTTTCGCTGCCAAAAAAAAAAAAAACTCAGGCCTCATTTTTGAAAAACTTTTATACTCAAACGTCCTAGGTCCGGAAATATATCCTCTAATGACTAAATGAAGCAGAAATAAAGAAAGAAAACAAGAAAAAAAGGCGCGCTTTTGATTTACAATACAATAATTTTATTAATATGTTGTTCGTTTGTTTGTTTGTTGTTTGTTTTCGCAATGCAGACAGTGTCATCGTGACGAATGATTTTTTTCGTGGATGTAATTTCATAGATATTTTACATACAGTAGCTTTAGCTTTAATCCCGTGGCAGACCGGGGTTCAGTGCTTCGGACACTGCGATCACGAATAAACTCAGGATTCTTTTATTTTATTCCTGCATATAAACACACACACAGAATATGCCACTTGAAGTACTTTTTTTTTTTTACTTCAACTTACTGGTTCTGTCAGATTGAATAATCACTTGCATGCGACATTACCTTCGATATCTTAGGAATTTTTTCTCTCAAGAGCTAACAAAAACTAAAGTTTCGTTAGCTCGTCCTGTCCATTCCTTTCTTTGTCCGTGTATTTCGTTTTTGCTCGCTGCTACCAGCTTGTAATCATGAACCAACTCGCACGCACCGCTACATTGTTTTGTGTTAACCCGTCTGATTTTCGGAAAATATATACTGTCAATTACCCCTCTGTGCCGAATTTTGCGCCAGGCGAGGGTGGTGACCCTATAAAAGGGTCGTCCGGTTTTCGTCTCCAGCAATCATTCCATGGTCACTTCAAGTTCTCGATTAAATTAAATATCTCCGCCGAGCTCTAAAGCCACGACTCCTTTCGACAAATTAATATTTAGAAAGATTGCAATCCATCGCCCTTCGCACGCTTGTTGGTGAATGCTTCCGCTGCGAACGTATAGAGATGTTTACACGACGACGAAGAGATAGAACATGCATATGTAATCGCTTACGTATGTTTGACTCAAATATTCTTTGCCTTTCTGTAGCCTTTTATGCAACTCAGTAGTGAAATTAGTCAAGACTCAAAAGTCGCACAAAACCAATTAGCTTCTTCGCAAATAGCATAGCACACTCCTATTTGCAACCATTAAAACAAGTTTGAAAACATTTCGTAGTTAAAAATAGCGCTCATATCGAGGAATGCTACCGGAAGGAAAAATGCATAGCAGTATATCGTCATTTCTCGGAATTCGGCCTCTGGTAATAAAAATAAAAAAACTAAGTGCATCACGTTTCTACCGTCCCGATTGATATATTGCCGCGCGCAGACTTGCAGAAGGTTCTCGTTTATTCTTGCTGCGAACATAACTTCTATCGTTTTTGTTGTTCTAGAAAGTGCGTGTTCATTCTCGCCCCAAGCGCGCTACGCTCGAACGTTCCCCGCCGAATCTTCGAGATAGTGACTCATTCTAGATAAGAGGCCGCCCGCGACCTTGTCGAGTCAGTCTCGCCCCAGCGTTCGACTCTGCTGTCACGCCGACTTCGACGCCCGCGACGCCCTGTTATTACCTTTTGTACCCTTTTTTATTTTTGGCACAAGTTCGCCACATTAAACGTTTATTCCTTCTTGTTTATTTATTGTTTTTGGTCACCACCCGTGACATTTTGGTGGAGGTGCTGGGTAAACGTATGCCCCTGCCGCGTACCCCTCCGAGGGACCGCAGTGCAAGTCCGACGCCAAGCCCACGAAGAACCAACGAAGGCACTACCGAGATCCGGTTCAGTCGTCGCACCCAAGGCCTACACCCGGAATTCGGACTTCTGCCGCCCAGGACCAAGCAGCCAACGAAGCCGACGATGGCCAACCAGCAGCCAACGAAGCCAGACGATGGCACAACGGATGGACTGCGGTGCAGTGCCTCCAGAACCTCTACTTTTCGCTGGAGGGTACTGCGAGGTATTGGTTCGAGAATCACGAGGCTTCGCTTACGTCGTGGGACATCTGTGTGGCCGAGTTGCAGCAGCCGTCCGCCAACCCTTTCCATCGCCGAGGCTGTCCGAGAAGAAGTGCATCGGGCGCTCCAACCAGAGGTTCCCGTCACCACGGTGGCACCGGAGGAACCGACGTTGAGCTACGCCGCGATGGCCCGACGACCGCCGCAAGCTCCCCGTCAAGCCACGTCGCCACCCCGAAGAGACGCCCCAACGCCGCAGTACCCCCGACGACAGGAAGATGAGGCGCACCCAGAGCAACCTGCGCCGAGGAAGACAGACGTCTGGAGGACGGCCGACCGACGCCCGCTGTGTTACCACTGCGGGGAAGCTGACCATGTGTACCGCCGATGCCCATACCGACGACTCGGGCTGCGCGGGTTCCACCCGAACAACCCGCGACCCCGTTATGGTGAACGCCCTCGGGAAATCGACGAGTACCTGCGACGACCTCAGTCCCCCGAGCCTGCGTTCCGCCGAGAGTTCCGGTCACCTTCGCCACGACGTCCAGCTTCGCCGATGCACCGACCCAGACGTGAAAGCCTGTCGCCCCTCGCTCCACGCCGGGGAAACTAGGCGCGGCAACCCCTGGAGGTGGAGTTGCCGAAGACGACCGACGCCAAGATCCTCCACGAACGTCGGAGGGCCCCCACTCGAACGCTACCAGAGACCGAAACGACGCCCCTGCAGCGGTGTCCAATAACCTGAATGTCGTCATTGACGGCCACGACGCATCAGCACTCGTGGACACCGGAGCAGACTACTCGGTCTTGAGTGGAAGGCTCTCCCGCCGCCTTCGCAAAGTCATGACGCCGTGGGATGGACCCCAAATACGAACCGCAGGAGGACATCTCATCACACCCGTCGGAAGGTGCACTGCTCGCGTCGAGATTCACGGCGAGACGTGTCCGGTAAAGTTCGTCGTTCTACAAGACTGTTCCAGAGATGTCATTCTTGGCATGGACTTTCTGTGCGAATTCGGCGCCGTCATCGACCTGGGTGAGAACAGACTGACGCTGCGGAAGCCTGTTCCGCCTTCAGAGAAACCCCAAACAGGGTCAGCCGCCGTCCGAGTCGCCACCGACCACGTGAATCTGCCGCCGCGATCAAGTATTGTCGTACCCGTCGTGGCAGATACAGCTACCTGCGGCGAAGTTGTCCTAGAAGGTAACCTTCAATTGCTCTTGGGAAGAGGAATAGGCGTCGCAAGAGGGGTAGCAGAACTCCAGAATGGCCGCACTGTGGTCCTCCTGACGAACTTCCGAAACGAAGCACAACACCTCACGAAAGGGGCAGCCGTTGGCCACGTCGAGGAACTCCGAAACTCCGCGGAAATCGCCGCCATTGCTGACGAATCCTCGCCACCTCAGCAAGACAGTACGTTGCCAGCGCAGCTCGACATTGACCCTAAACTTCCGGGCCCGAAACGACGTCAGCTGATTAACCTCCTCGCCGAATACCGCGACTGCTTTGCGACGTCGTCGAAGGTGCGCCAAACCGCCGTTGCGAAGCACCGCATCGTTACCGAGGACGACGCGCGCCCTGTGCACCGATCTCCATACAGAGTGTCCGTCAAAGAAAGGCAGGTGATCCAGGAGCAAGTTCAAGAGATGCTGAACGACGACATAATTCAACCCTCAAGCAGTCCTTGGGCCTCCCCAGTCGTACTGGTTAAGAAGAAAGATGGGACGCTTAGGTTCTGCGTGGACTACCGGCAGCTGAACGCAGTGACGAAGAAAGACGTCTATCCACTCCCCCGCATCGACGACACGTTAGACCGGCTGCGCAATTCTCGATACTTTTCATCGATGGACCTGAAGAGCGGCTACTGGCAGATCGAAGTCGACGAACGGGACCGAGAGAAGACAGCCTTTGTCACACCGGATGGGCTGTACGAGTTTAAGGTGATGCCCATCGGACTATGCACGGCGCCAGCAACTTTCCAGCGTGTCATGGACACCGTACTGGCAGGACTGAAGTGGCAGAGCTGTCTCGTCTACCTCGACGACGTCGTAGTGTTTTCCGGCGACTTCGATGAGCACTTGCGACGACTCCGAGCTGTTCTCCACGCCATACGGACCGCCGGACTCACCCTCAAGCCGTCAAAGTGTCGGTTCGCCTATGACGAACTGAAGTTCCTAGGTCACGTGGTTAGTAACGAAGGCATTCGTCCAGACCCAGAGAAGACTCGCGCCGTCGCAGCATTTCCAGCACCAAGAGACAAGAAGGCCGTGCGAAGGTTCCTTGGGCTATGTGCCTACTATCGGCGCTTCGTTCGAGATTTCGCAAAACTTTCCGCACCGCTCACAAACCTCACGAAGGACGCCGAGAAGATCGAATGGGCCAAGGAGCAGCAGCAGGCATTCGACGAGCTGAAGCGACGACTGCAGACTCCTCCTGTCCTTGGACATTTCGACCAGGATGCGGAAACCGAGATTCACACGGATGCAAGTAACGCAGGACTTGGCGCGGTACTGGTTCAAGTACAAGAGGGCACCGAACGAGTCATCGCCTACGCAAGTCGGACATTGTCCAAGGCGGAGCGAAATTACTCCACGACTGAAAAAGAATGCCTTGCGGTCGTCTGGGCGATCACGAAGTTTCGTCCGTACTTATACGGAAGCCCGTTCCGCGTAGTCACGGACCACCATTCGCTCTGCTGGCTTGCGAACATCAAGGACCCGTCAGGACGCCTTGCGCGATGGAGTCTCCGACTACAAGAGTTCAACATGACCGTAGTCTACAAGTCAGGCCGCAAGCACAGCGACGCGGACTGCCTGTCCAGAGCTCCCATCGAAACACCTTCCGACAGCAGCGACGACGATAACGACAAGTGTTTCCTGGGCGCAGTGAACACCGACGACATGGCCCGACGTCAACGAGACGATCCTGAGCTGCGCGCACTAATAGAGCACCTGGAAGGGCGTGGGAGTGTCATACCACGTGTTTTTTCACGAGCCCTGCCGACCTTCGCCATTAGACAAGGAGTTCTCTACAAAGAAAACTTCGGCAACAACAACTCGATGTGGCTGCTGGTAATCCCGACCGACCTTCGAGAGGAGATCTTCCAAGCCTGTCACGACGACCCGACGTCCGGACACCTCGGTTACAGCCGGACACTGGCCCGTATTCGTGAAAAGTATTACTGGCCCAAGCTCCCCAAAACGGTCCACCTATACACACGATCATGCCATGAATGCCAGCGACGAAAGAAACCTCCAACGAGGCCGGCCGGACTCCTGCAGTCAATTCCTCCGCCAACGGCATAACGGCACCCTTCCAACAGATCGGAATGGATCTACTTGGCCCTTTTCCACCGTCGACGTCGGGAAATCGCTGGATCATCGTCGCCACAGATTATCTCACGCGGTACGCCGAAACGAAAGCCCTTCCTTCCGGAACTGCTGTGGAAGTTGCCAAGTTTTTCATTGAATCCATCGTCCTCCGGCACGGCGCTCCCGAAGTCCTGATCTCAGACCGTGGATCCTCGTTCATGGCGTACCACCCTCAGACCAACGGGCTGGCGGAAAGACTCAACAAGACCATCGCCGACATGATTTGCATGTACGTCGACGTGGAGCACAAGACATGGGACGAGGTGTTGCCGTACGTCACCTTTGCCTACAATACGGCCCTGCAAGAAACCACCGGGGTTACACCCTTTCGACTGGTTCATGGTCGCAAAGTGACGACAATGCTGGACGCAATGTTACCCCACGAACCGGCTGTCGACGGAAGCGACGACGCCCAGGTGGTTGCCCAACGGGCAGAAGAAGTCCGTCAGCTCGCCAGACTCCGGATTCAAGCCCAACAACGTATCGACACTGGCCGCTACAACCTTCGTCGCCGGGACGTCCACTTCCAGCCGGGAGACAGGGTGTGGGTCTGGACACCGATCCGCCGCCGTGGTCTCAGCGAGAAGCTCCTGAAGCGCTACTTTGGACCCTACAAAGTGCTTCGTCGACTCGGGGATCTGAACTACGAGGTGATGCCCGATGGAACACGGACTTCATCACGCCGCCCTCCAAGACCAGAAGTCGTCGACGTCGTGCGCATGAAGCCGTACTACGCTCGATAGGAATGTGGACCTTATGTGTTCCAAATGACTCTTTAGTTTACCGTTATTTCTGTTTGCTTTGTTTTCGGTTTGTGCTGCATCGGGACGATGCGCTTTTAAAGGGGGGGGGGGGGGGATAATGCCGCGCGCAGACTTGCAGAAGGTTCTCGTTTATTCTTGCTGCGAACATAACTTCTATCGTTTTTGTTGTTCTAGAAAGTGCGTGTTCATTCTCGCCCCAAGCGCGCTACGCTCGAACGTTCCCCGCCGAATCTTCGAGATAGTGACTCATTCTAGGTAAGAGGCCGCCCGCGACCTTGTCGAGTCAGTCTCGCCCCAGCGTTCGACTCTGCTGTCACGCCGACTTCGACGCCCGCGACGCCCTGTTGTTACCTTTTGTACCCTTTTTTTATTTTTGGCACAAGTTCGCCACGTTAAACGTTTATTTCTTCTTGTTTATTTATTGTTTTTGGTCACCACCCGTGACAATATGTAGAAACAATATGAAGGATACATGCCAATACACAAATCTAATGCTACACTAAAGGATGTCGCACTTAGGCAACATGATCGCAACAGCAACACCGCACGTTGTCCAACAGAGGAGCAACTTGTTGCTCGCTCCCCGTGTTGTCCGACAAACCTATCACATCCCGGCAACAGCAGCAGTGCAGCATGGACGACAACGAAAATGTTGCCTCGGTATGACAGCTTTTGGCAACAGAAACTGCAGCAACTTGTGTTGGACAACGTGTGTTGCCCTGATCACTGGCTGAGTGAATTTTGGACAGGCAACACGACAACACACATAGCATCGATGGCAAAGCTAGTTCCCTATCAATAACGTCTTACTCAAATAAAGGCTTGGAAAACGTTATTTAACGATAATTAAGGCTGGCGTGAAGCTAAAATAACTCGATGGATATTTCTACTACGTAATTACGGAAAGCGATTGTCGCAATGGTTACAGCTACGGTCGTAACGTTCAGATTGGTGTTGAAGTTAGAACTGCCGAGAGACCAGCTCACATTACTGCTAGTAAAATAAAATGGCATGCGTACTCACCCGCTGATGGAGTATAATCAATATAATCCAGGAAAGCAGAGATTAAAAAATCGAAGCATTAAAATGACCACTCTGATCATAATTGTTGGTGCTCGGACTTGGAAACAGCCGCTACCAGAAACCTGATTTGTTTTCAAAATACCCAGGACGTCTTGGGTGAATGAAGCGATCACATAGAAGGCGGTAGGCAAATAGACAGCGTTGAAAAATAGTTATTCCACCGATCATTATGAAGACCGATCGTGTCGGTGTCCCAGTTTTTATGCACTGCCGGTTGAGCTCAACACCACGCTACAAAAGACGCTTTGGGGTACTGCGGGAGCTAACTCAATTTCACAGTAGAAATAGGAATTGCATGAAAGAAATCCCGAACATATATCAGCGCTCTCACTCTCCTTGGTTAGGGCTATCTGCTTTGTCAGCGAATGAAGAACATTTTGATAAAATAAAGAGGGGTGAAAACACTCCCTGTGTCAAGTTTTCTAATCACAGTCACTGGTTGATGTCGTCCCGTGGTAATTTCTGGCCCTTCGAACGCACTAGCACTTTGAAGAGTCACATTTCCAGCGACGCCGCGCCGCACACGACGACCGCAAAATGCCGGAGTGTTCCCCGGGTTGTCCACGCCGTCAGCGCGGTGTGACAGTATGGTCGGTTCAACGAATCGGCCAAAACGGTTGACGGGCGGCAGAAACATGTTGCCCGACTGTTGTCGTTGCCGCGATGTGACAGGGTCGCCGTTAACACGATTTCCTCGTGTTGCCGGATAGAGTCGTCCAACTGTTGCCTCAGTGTGACAAAGCCTTAACGGTAATAAAATTCGAGGAAGCCTCTCTAGAATTTATTGGTGTATGGCGCAACTGAGGGGTTCCTATTTGGAGAACATACAGTAGGACGACCTTCAACCTGAGAGTTATACTGGTAATATCCTGGTCGCAGATATCTAAACTTTCTCGCTCCCCCATAAAGAAGTATAAGGAACTTGCACGAGTTTCCGGGCTGCTGAGCCGAAGCTCTACGGCCACTGACGGCGCAGGGGCGAGGCTTATTGTGTTTACGCTGCGTGATTGGTTCCTTGACGTTCTAATCGACAAATGTCTGCAATCTGATTGGCTGCGCAGCGATAATGAGATGTTTGGGACTCTTCATGCTTTGTCTTTCTTTAACTGTTAATGAGCATGGTTTATGCGCTTCTTTTTCAGATATCTGTCTTCTTTTCTAAGGTGTTAAAACTTGCCTATTTTCAAGAAACCATGACATACAGGCAAATTCGCATTTCATCATTCCTATACTGGGAGCAACTTGGGTCTAATCTAAAACGTCCAACACGAGGTTTATCGAACCGCTGCGAACGGAGTCGGATACCCAAATATGAGGCCTAAAGCTAAAGCGGAAGCACGTTCCGTAACAAGAAACAACACCGAAAACACCAACTATATTTGTTTGCAAATTGTCAGTAGAATCGGACATGCCAGCTATTGTGTTACCACTTGTTATTCACTACCTAAGTTGGACACCTTCAAAACGCTGACACCTCTTAAGGTGGGACAGGCTTTCTGACCACCAATGCAGCATAGTCATTCATTCAGTCATTGTACTTTTAACCTTAAAGGCACCATTGAGGGGCACTTCGGGGAAAGTTTACATTCTGAAGTCATAAAAAAGAAACAGGTGGTTTTCATTTAACACTGGTGGTGTTTTTGCAAAGACTGCAAAATAACAAATTCAAGAACAACTTAGTGTAAATAAAAAAATTGTTAAAGCGATCCATTAGCACAAATAAGAGACTACAGCACTTCGAAACAAGACAGGGCCCCCTATGTCGGAGGAAAGTTCAATCCAGACTATGATGGTCTGTGAAAAAAAGAAAAAGGATCGATTAAAATCAATTGTACGACCTGCGATCTGAGAGTGAGACCCATGGCATCTTATGCCATGGGTCTCACGCCATCTTATGGCGTGGAATTAAAGTTCAAAACACTGCAGGTCGTTCGGCTATAATCGTTGAAGATAAAACTTGCTCCTGAATCGTTCAAACGAACATCCCTCTCTCCGGAGCATTCTCTAAGGTCGGAATGTCCAAGGGTATTCAAGGAGTGTCCGAGTTAGCAAGGTTCCACACGATATCGAATCATCTTGTCTTTTGACCAAATAAAGAACTGACTAGCAAACGAAACGAAACCGACGTCACGAAAATTCTGCATTCCAGACGTGGACGAGTGTGCTGAGGGGCTGGATGGCTGCAGCGATGACCAGGTGTGCGTCAACGCCGTGGGAAGTTTCAGCTGCGTGCCGAGAGCCCCCCAAGCATGGTGCCACAGAGGCTACCGGAGGGATCCAGTGACCAGACGTTGCGAAGGTGGATGTCGCCTTTCCCTTTATTTTGCACACTTCACTTTAAGAAACCTAAAGTGTCTACTTACCCGATAAGCACTTGGGAGTTCCAATTTCTGCAATCTACGGACCGAGCTCGGCGAGGGCCGAGGCCGATGATATGAACTCGATGTTAGAGCAAAGTTTTAAAAAATAAAATAAAAACGAAGTGTGGCACAATATTGGCGAACCACCAGTAAAACCTGGGAGCTGCAACCATAAGACGCACTTTAATGTGCCCTACAGCGAAAAGGAGGTCTCTTATTCTACTCAAATTAAACACCATTTCGGAATACCCAGACCTTACTATTTCCGGTATGCTATTCATAATCCCTAAATTAAAATAACTATTGAGAAAACTGCAAATGAGGGTAACGCCGAAACCAACTTTCAATTTTTCACGCGCCCTTCAGTAGGGTGATGTCACAATTTTTCAACTTGCAAGTCGAGCAGCCAGTCTAAATAACGCAATATTTTGTGCGTTTTATGTTGGTTCTTTTTTTTTTTCGTTTTGTTGGCGTGAGTTTACCCAGCCTTCACACCATCAAACCTCCTGTAAACCGTCGGGAACAAGCTATACTGCCCCCGATGGATGGATGGATGGATGGATGAATACGGCTGAGCCCTTTGGATCGGGCGGTAGCTTACGCCACCTAGCCATTTTGTTTTACCATTTAAGCCCCCATTACGACATCTGGCGTCAGGATTGAAGAAAGAGTAAACATGTAAGACAAGGACGACACAACCACATCTTTCAACTAGCAGTGGACATATAGGAATTCCAAAAGCGAGTACCGGTTAAAGGCAGGAAAATCGGGGAAAGGGGAACTAACTATAAGAAGAGACGAAGGAAGGAAGCAGACGATAAGATAAAAGGCAAAGTGAAGTCGACGGAGTCATTTCTGATTTGAGAATTTCAACTTCAGTCTTCGTCAGAAACAGGGTGGTATTAGAACCGTTGTTGTTTGCGCTGCTCATGGTGATTGACGATAATCTCCCGGCCGTATCTGACCAGTCTGACCCAAAGTCCCTTGATGCTTCTTTTTACAAGTAATGACAGCCAATACAAATGGCAAAGCACATTCCGCTGGAACAAAATGGCGTCCTTCAATTCAGTCTTCTGCTGTGCACCGTCATTCGCTTCCTAAAACATTCACCCTCACGCAGTCGGCGCATCAAAGAATGTCGCTACTTGTAGGAAGCTCTTATCTCGAAACTTTAGTCTGACCTACGTACTGGCTCCCGCAGCTCAACGGAATGGAGTAGACCTTCTTCTTATTGCATGGCATGAACTCTTTTTCATGTCTGACGGTACTGCAACTTGCAATCTGGTTATTTTTAGCCTGTTGGCAGAGTTGCTAAAGGCGCATACGGCAAGAAAACACGACATTCGTATCGAACCGCGATGCAATAGACTTTAACCGGTGAGCGGAATTGTACTTCTAAGGGATAACTACAAACCGGGCTTTCTACTTAGAGGCAGAGGGCTGGCATTCGATCCCAAGAACAAACTTCTCCCAGAAGGAGCGGAGAAGGTCAACGGAAAACACGGCCTTAACAAACCTCTGATGCTCAGTTTTAAAACTGACTTCTGAAAAATGATAATAGGACTTTGTGAAAGATGATGAGAACAGCAATTTGATGATACTATGTTTACCGATTTCGAGTCAGCACTAGAAGAAGGAACAACACGTTTAACGTATACCTTTGCTGGAAATCCCAGCAGAGACCAGAGGAACTAGCATGAAGCCGCAGATCGAGCTGCTCTAGCCCTTCATGCGAATGTTCTTCTTTTGTGAAGCTGAGACCAGACGAGCAAGCGGAAGAGGCATCTGCAATATTTCCAGCGGGAATTAGGTCAGGATGAGCAATCAATTAATTATTGGCGAATCTGAAAACATGGCAGTCAGGAAAAGAGTTGTTGATATGCTCTCTTATAGCTCTGTCAAAGAATAGAAGAAACAAATCTCACTGAGAATAGGGACGAGGCAAAAGCCGATGCAAACGCCCTTCTTTTGGCGATAGATCCTTCCCTCATGTTTGACTAAGGTTGACTGGAGGTAAAGATAAAGCACGTCAAAAAATCCTTCAACAGAAACAACAGAGGAATTCTGAAAATCAATGCCCACATTTTCGAGGATAGCGTCAGAGACAGAAACGAGCAGGCCAGTTTGATCTAGGTTGATACACATGTCTTCAATGTTGAGTAAAAAAAATAGAGCGCAAGAAGGAAAAGGAATGAAAGTCACTGCTGGAAATAAATTCGAGGGAGTTTGACACACTAAAAGTTGGAGAACGTGAGTGCGTGACATTTGCTTTTGCAAAAAGAGACCGAGAGGCTTCTGCGAACAGCCCGTTTCCGACAAAATGCTTCTGCGAAAAACACCATTCGTATCAGTTTTTGCCGTGAAGAACAAGGAAAGATACTGCTCCGCGAGACCAGCGATGGCACTCTTGAGTGACAGGATGTTCAACGAATTAAGGACGAAGCAGTTTCACCTCTGAGCTGAAGGACCCGCACGGTTTCGGCTTTACAAAACTCGGCAACTATCGACATTTAGCTCCATGCATGTACTCGAGGGTTCCATCTGCCTCAATCTTCCCATGAAGATTTTAAAAAAAAAATCACTTTTATCTTATGAGTAAGATTACGGTAAGGTCTGAAACTTTGGAATCTGGTTCTGAACGCTAGTGCTACTATTGGGCGCAGAATGAGGGTTTGGTGATGCGTGGTTCATTTGTGCGGCAAAGAAAGAACATTGTACTTCGGTTACTTTATTTTGTGTTTGTGTGTGTGTGTGGGGGGGGGGGGGGGGGGGCACGCTGTACTTTAACGCTCACCCTCACTCTCCTGTTATTGAATAATCGGCGCTCCTCGCTCGATTCTGCTCGCAGACATCAACGAGTGCCAAGAGTACACGCACTCGTGCGTAGGCGACATGGTCTGCATCAACACCAAGGGAAGCTACATGTGCGAAAAGCGCCAACCGACTAACCCCGGGGTCAAGGATCACTCCGGAGGTCAGCACGGCAACGGACACTCGAACAAGTGCGCCCCCGGCATGAGATCCGATCCCCTGACCGGCGACTGCCGAGGTAATTACCTCCAATTTCAAAAATCGGTGTAAACATTTTTAATGCGAGAGCATTAACTGCCCCATGAAGCGAACCGGCGTCATCAGCTTTTGAAGCCGCGCCAAACGGCACCTAAACTCCCCTGTCCCAATAAAGCGAAGACTGTCGTCTGTAGCAGCGATCTGATGGATAGGCTCCCATTGGCTGGCACGTACGCGTCATAGTTCCAAGGAACGAGGCTCCCATTGGCTCTCGCGCGGCGTAGTTCCAAGGAACGCCACCAGAGAAGCCCTCTCCATGGCGGCGCAGCGCACCCAGCGGCCCGGCCGCCGGTAAAAGGCGCGGGCCTGGCCGCACAGCCCGCACGGGCAAACTCCAGAGAGGTTGCACGGCCGAGCTCAGCGCGGCGCGGCCACTTCACGAGAGCGCGCGCTCAGCCATCGGCGGCTACCTCGGCAGTAGCGAGACGTGGTATCCACGCCAGTACGCCGCAGACAAACTAAGGGAGCGGAGGAACGACATTTATGCTTTCGAACTCACAATTCATAAGAAGTGCTTAGGTGTTCATATTGTAGGAGAAGCGCAAAAGTAAACTTACTCTCACAGAAAATACACGCACGCCAGAAAAACGGTCACTCACGTCGCGCAGTATCCAACTCGCTAAAGAATCCATTCTAAGATGCTTAGCTATCCTCGGATTTTTTTTAATATACATTTTTTATTTTGGTGGGATTTGGGGTGGCACAGGAAAACTGCAAAGTATTGGGTTTACCTATATTGGGTGCATATTAAGTCCCGTTAAAAATAAATAGGTAATAATTTCGATGATGCGCGGACCTAGACTATAATTCCTGTATGGCGATAATAATCCCTTGAGAAGGGGAGCACAGGGGACAATGGGACAAACACAAATCTCTAAACACAGCTAGGTGACTGGTGCGCGACCTTAAATATCTGCCTGGTCCTGGTAACGAACCAGCGACCTCCCCATTTCCAGTGAAGCGCTCTACCGAACTGAGCTAACCGTGAGTTAGACGTCAGTAGAGCAAACGAATTTTATCAGCTGCCACCAGTCTAGAACCAACAAAAATGAACGGCCTGCATTTTAAACTTATGATTAATGCAAAGGTGCAAGGGAGCTGGACAAGAATGACGATAATAACCCCTGGAGAAGGGGAACAAGGGAGACAAAGGGCAAACACAAATCTCCAAGATCGAATTATCAATTACACACAGCAGTCACACATTTGCGTTTAGTAAGCTCGGCACGCTACTCTACGATGCCACATATGCCCCGAAACACGCCGCATAAGGAAATTTATTGCCTTCATATTTCTAAATAATATGTAACATATCGTACCTTCCCCCCCCCCCCCTTTTTTTTTTTTTCTCTTCTTTTCTTTTTTTTACCGCAGCAGTAAGATGGGCATTGCCGAGCGCTGTCTTCGTTCCTATATCGCGTTAGCGGTTCGGACAGGATGCCAAAGTTTCAGTTATTCGAAACGAATATCTTTTTTTTCCTTTTTAATGGGGAATTGCGTCCGACGAAGCCTACGAATACACGTAGCTTGAATAACGTGAACTACCGAGAATGGGTCCCATTTTCCCACCGAAACTTTAAGAAAATCGATCAAAACTTTTGAGGAAGGTGACGGTAAGTTCTGAAACTTTGACATCTGGTCCTCACGATTAACGCCACGTTTAGGCGGAGACTAAGCGTACGGCGATGGGTAGTTCTATATGTATATATATATATATATATATATATATATATATATATATATATATATATATATATATATATATATATATATATATATATATATATATATATATTGTAATTATTATGGCGAAAGCCTTCTATATCTCATCGTTCAGTCCTTGAGCGAAAACACGTCGGCGACACGAAAGGCACCAAAACCCACGGTTCGCCACTGGACCACGAGATGGCGTTACTTGTGCCAGAATTGGCGGAGGCGCGCGGGGCGGCGCCAACCCAGCGGGGGAGGAGGGCACTCTCCCTCGGGCAGCGGGGAAGAGCGAGCGTGCGACATGCCGTGATGATAAACGGTGTCAACTCAAAAGTGCGTCGTCAGAGAGCGCGCTGTCTTCGGGTGTTCGCTATCACCGCGATCGGCGCTTGGGCTTTCACCTTCAAGCCGTCTTAGGGATAACATAAGAAACCCTGTTAATTTTTTTTTCTGGGACACGCATATACATCTTATTTATGTTATAGGGACATCATTTATAGTCGTTAAGAGCGACCTCCTCTCCCACCTTCGCTCTGATAAAGTGGAAAGAGGAGGGGGGAACTTTCCCTCATTTCTTGACTTGTCACCAACTCTAGTTATTAAAGGGGCACTGACACCCCAAAGGTCGTATTTATTTTTATTTTCTAAAACGATGCAACTTGCAGTCATAGACACGCAAAAAAAACCGCATCGCGAAAAAAATTTTTCCCGCGCGCGCGCGCGCCTTTTTATTTTTGGAGTTTGATTTTCCCACCTCTCGCCTCCTCGCTTCTTTTGATCGGTGACGTCAAGAATCATGAAATTTAGAAGCTTTGTAGGCGACATCTCTATAACATTTAATTACGGCAATCCTAAAACATGTTTTTTAACGCAATTGCGAACGCACTACGGCCCTTCTTTTTGAAATACCAAAAATCCGGAGTTCGTTGTGGTGCTGTCTCCTGGATTTGTGTCCTCCAACGGAAAACAGGCGACACCGCTCAAAACCGGTCCGCCGCAACGCCTGCGCTCGCTCCTTTCCTCCTCGCTTTGGGTCGCCATGGCAACAGCAGGGAGTGGTGAAAAAAAGTGGACTCTCAGGACTCCGGAATTTTTGACGTCAAGGCACCGGCGCCGATCGCGCGGGAACTTCGAATTCGGCATTTGGAAATTGTTTTTTTACTTCACAAATACTGAATTCCCAAATTTCATATTTTGAGGGTAATGTCCCGGCATCGTTTTCAATCGTTTCGGATAATAAAAAAAAAATATGATTTTGATGTGTCAGTGCCCCTTTAAACTGAGCCTTCGTAGAAAACAGCGACTTATATTTATCTATTACTTATTTACTTATTAATTGTTCCCAGAGAAGTTTAGAAGAAAAAGGCGTGGCAATCATTTCAAACCGCGCAGCCGAAGTGCGCGCAAGACTCGCGCAGCTTCCAGCGTTCATGCGTCTGTTTACGTTAATATTTGCAGACATCAACGAGTGCGAAGAACAGCGACCGTGCGGAGAAAACGAGCGGTGCCACAACCTGATCGGCACGTACACATGCACCTGCATGGACGGATACCGACGCGACAGCTCCACAGGCCCCTGCAAAGGTAAGCGCAACTCCAACAAGGTGCATTGTCGTTTAATCTGTTTCACGTTTCGACCGCTAGGTCGCGCCAGTTTTCGCTGCGCGCTTGCATAGGCCGAAGCACCCCAATTCTTTCTTTCAAGTCTTTGCCGCTGGGTGGCGCCGCTAAGCGGATTGGCGATTTGGAAAGCGCGTCGTACCTTCAGTCGCTAGAAGAGGACATGGATGATGGAGTGACGGATCGGTCATTTCAACTGTTATGCGTGGCGCAAGAAAACATAACCCGGTCCTGAAACTGATCAAATCAAAGAATAAATTTATCTTTTCTTCTTTTTTTTTTTTTGTCTTACACTATTGACGTTTTATTTAAAATAAAAAATGTCAGCGAAAAATTGTTTCGCTATTTTGGTATTTACGCTTAAAAAAAAATTTTTTTTCTGGGGGGGGGGGGGGGGGGGGGGGGGGGGAAGGGGGGCGTGCGCTTTGCGTGGTCATGTTGAGAACCAATATATGTGTGAAAAACGAGGCAGGAACAAAGGGGAACATTCCCTCGTAGAATGAACCAGTGCGCCCTCTACGCACTTATGGACCCGAAAAATAGTACCCTTCAGAGTCCAGACTCCAAAATTCAACCTCAGCTGGAAGTCAGAGAGTTCATAATTTCGCGAAGGTATTTAAATAATGCACGAACCTGTCCCTTAAAATAAATTACTAACCTGAAGTGGAGAACCCCCAACCCTCTCTATCCATCGCAGGACCGTGACGTCACTTCGTAACTGGGAAAAACTACAAATCGACTTAACGCTTTCATCATTAGCCATCCTTTCTCGCTGTTTGTCCAGCACCCGTCTACACTCTAAGAAATGCCTGCCCGTCTACTTACCCGCAAAACACTCAAAGACCCAATCTCTGCGATCTACGGAATCAGCTGAGCCAATGATGAGGTGGAACATCCGTTTAAACCTAAAAATGAAGTCTGCGCTGTGGCATTACGCAATGCATGCATGACGCTTTGTATTGCATAATGCCACGGCACAGACTTCATTTCGAAGTCTAAACGGATGTCCCGCCTCATCATTCGCTGAGCTGATTTCGTAGATCGCAGAGATTGGCTCTTTGAGTGCTTTGCGGGTAAGTAGACGGGCAGGCATTTCTTAAACTGTACGTCGGAGGAAAACTATTTAAGTAGCGGGCCGCTCTGCTTCTTTTGTCACGTCACCGACAACTTAAGAAACGCAGGGCGTGGCGAGTCCCGAGCACGTGACCACCGCTTCGTAGCCAATGAGATTGCGGCATCAGTCGAAGGAACGCCGAAGAACCAATTACAAAGCAAGATGCGTGATCATAATGGACCGCACCCTGCGGCAACCTCAGTGGCTCGCGACCGACGCCATGGTGAATTTACCGGCAGCAGTTCAAAGGCGCGCTACTTGGCCTTTTAGAACTCGCTAATGCTCTTATCCTTACAAAAATCAACCATTCTTTCTCTCTCTCTCTCTTTCTTTGTCTGTTTGTATGCCCCTCTCTCCGTCTGTCTGTATGTCTCTCTCTATCTGTCTCTTTCTCTCTCTCTCTCCCTATCTCTCTCTCCCTATCTCGCTGTCTCTCTCCTCTCTGTCTCTCCCTTCCTTGCTCTCTCTCTCTCTCTCTGTCTGTTTCTCTCTCTGTCTCTTTCTTTCTCTCCTTCTCCTTCTCTCTTTTATTTTTCTCGTTTTTACAGAATGGTGCAGAATGGTGCACACGCCCTTATACATCTCAGACTTAATTTATCTTCATTTGACAGTAGAAAAAACACAATACTGCACGCGTTCACCCTGATTTTAAATGAAACGCACGATCGATGTCTCACACGGTTTATGAAAGGACGTTGTGCGCCGTCCACCCTGTTTCTCGGCGTGGAGGAGGCAAATCGCACATGAGACTTTCATCGCGCGTTTTGGAAACAAGCAGGACCCGCATGCGAATAAATTGCAATTTCTTTAGGCCGCCGCGAAGAATGTAGAATTGTGAAGCCGTATTCACACTGCTCGTATACATCACACAAAAAAAAAAAAGAAGAAAAAAAAAAAACTAGTCTCCAGGCATTGTGTGAGGCATGCCTTTTTCTTGTATGAGGGTACATCGGCCACAAAAACTGTACCACGCATGTTAGAAGCATGTATGGAGCCAACATGCTTTGAATATGATCGAAGCCTGTGTCCGCAGATGATTTTATCACCATGTATGCAGCGAACACCGTGTATTTTGTATGATTTACTATAGCAGATGTACAGCACTGTAGCCAAAGATAACGGCCAGAAACCATTTTTTGTGCACCTTTATTTCCTTGTGTTCCGGAGCGCGGATGAGTCGAAACAGACCGCCATGCATTCCAACAAATGACCTTGCGTCCTCTTTTGCGCAGAACGCACATTGAGCCAACCACTGAGATCAATGAAGCGAGATCGAACACTGACGAGGACAAAACACTTCTATTTAAAAACGTTATTTGTACCTTGACACTGAAGTACGACAAGAGCGTAACGGCCATTACCAATGTCAAAAAGTAAGCTGCAATTTTCGGTGAAAAAACAATTTTTTTTTTTTCGGGCTCGAGGACTTTTGATAGGTTGCAGTGATTGATTTTTCGAGTTCTCTACGGAAAGGTAAACGCGCGGTCATTTTGGGACGTAAGTAACGACGCCCACCGTAGAATACCCCGTCTCTAAATGACGAAGTGCGTCGCGCATTGAAGTGTTGCCGTCGTTGCAGACATCAACGAGTGCCAGTACGGAGGACACAACTGCCAGATCGGATTTCGCTGCGACAATACGCCGGGCTCTTTCACCTGCGTTCGGAGCTCGGGCTGTGGAACTGGCTACACCGTGAATTTCGCCACGGGACTGTGCGAAGGTAGGATATGGTTCTACCTTCTCGGAACCACGTCTCCTTGTTTAGCTTCCAGGTGCATACTGAATGGGTTTCTCCTTTCGCCTTTCTAGGCGACGAATTTATCATATGGGCAGTTATGTGATTGGCCGAGTCATTTTGGAGCACATATGAAGCAGCCAAAAGTTTATTTTTGCGTAGCAAAAAGTATTTTTGGAGCATAAGCAGACTTTTTATATTTATTCGTATCAGTTCGAATTTTATATTAAGATTTATGTCTTGATGTCTACTTTGCCTTTCTGTTTATTTACAATCTTTTGGTGGCCTAAACAGCATGGCAGGTGGGATTCCCTAGCTAGCAGTTTAATTGCACGTAGAAGTACGAGACACGCTAAAAGGACGCTGACTGGTAAAGGGCAGTACAAACTACAGTGCTTGGTTATTTTAGGTAGAAATTCCAAACTAAACCAAATAGAATTTTCCACTGAAATAACGTTAGAATATAATACATTTGAGCACCAAATTGATGTTGTCTTTAAGTTCCCAATATTTTCATAAAACCGCAGTTATTAATTCAGACAAAAACATAGCATTTATCATTTGATTGTGATCTTCAATTATATTTTATTACATTTTATAAGCAGAATATCATGATAACAAAGGTCAGCATGGAAACAATAAATATGCTTCCTTTAATTACAAATCACGTACCGATTTTTTTTTAGGTTATTTCCAGGCCTGCATTTACTGCTCCAGTTAATTTAGTTTTCATTTACTATACCAGCGAATGGATCAAACCTAAATAAAATAAATAATTAAACGACAGTTAACACAAAAAATAAGCATATCGAGTAGTCAGTAAAAGTTTTCTCGCAATACTTAAGTATCATTGATGAACCTTGAATGGGAAAAAGATATCGTCAGAATATCGTAGTCCTGCACCCTACTTGTAAATTTTCGCAGGGTGTACCAGGATGTAGCAGGTTCGCGCTTTGGCGCAATTTGGCGCAAATACCGCAGCCATCAAATCACACTGTATGTGTTTCAAAAATTCTGAAAATATTGCGAATTATTTTTATGTGAGCTCTGTTCCTCTGTAAAAATGCGATGACACATTCATAGGCTCACTTTTGTCTGCTCTTACCGAAGCTCAGAGACGAATTAACATCCGTCAACCATAAGCACCCACAAACCAAGACAGGCAAATTATATGAACGCCCGTTTCCTTGCATATTACGAGAGAGGTTATTTCCCAATCTTTATAGTCGTTCAGATAGATTTGAACACCGACAGAGACTTTAATAACACAACGTTTCTGAGTTTTTTTGTTTGTTTTTTTTATTAAAGGAAACACTCTTTCCGAAACATGGTTTTATTTTCCTTTGTAGGTATTTAAATTTTTCTGACTGTCTTTAATATTTCGATAAAAAACTTTTTTCAGTGCATTCAGTTTTTATGAAAAGGCGTCACGTTTATACGGATTGTTTGTGAATCTTTAAGCTTTCATGAAGCATATAAATCACGCAAGCTAAAACTGCGAAAGCATAAGGGTACAGATTGCTTTGGTAAACGTTTAGCATGAACCGAAGCAAAGGTTGTAAGCTATACTCCGTCCCATCCTATGATGGACTGAAGCCCGATGCTACAGTCTCCCGGGTCCAATGACGGACATGTTACAAACCACGTGGTATACTTCCTCCGTCGTACGTATCAGTGCGCCAAGACGCGTCCTGACATCACGCTGGTATTGCTTAACGTCACAACTCAGACTGCGTTTTTTGGTCTAAACATATGTTTCGGCATTGTCATTCGCTGAGCTGCCTCCGTAAGTTGGTGAGCGGCTCTCCGAGTGTTGTGTGGGAAAGTAGAAGCACGGGCACGGGTTAAAAGATGTGGTTGTGTTGTCCCTGTTTTAATTGTTTTATTCTTTCTTCATCCATGACGGGCTTTTTATAGAGTTTTTATCATCATGCCAATCATAATATTTTTTTCGTACAGGTAAAAACTGGAATTTGTTGCCATCCTCATCATTTCTTGTGGCGTATTCACCGCCTGTATTTTTCACCCGCTTATGTAACCCTTTCTCTGCTCAATGCCCTAACGGGCGCAGCAGGACCCAAAGTAAAATAATTAATTAATTTAATCTTGCGAATACCGGAAATACCTTTGCTCTAGCGAATCCACCTTTAACGCTACCGTCTCCCCGTCCGTTTGGCCAAACAGACGACGACGAATGCCTGATGGGCGTGCACAACTGCCAGCCGGGGTTCGTGTGCCGGAACACGGAAGGATCATTCCGCTGCGACCGCGACAGCTGCCCTGGCGGTAGCAAGCTCCTTCCGGACGGAAGCTGCGAGGCTCTCAACTGCTCGGCCGGAATGAAGACCGATATCTTCGGAAAGTGCGTTGGTACGTAGACGATTATCTGCGGATGCAGCTAACCTCGGCGCCATGCACAGGCGCTGGAATGTCGAATGTGTTTAAAGATACCAGGGGAGTTCCAAATTAAAAGTTTATAGGGAGGAGCTTGGGAAGTATCTTGAGCTACCTGAAAACTAAAAACACATTTTCGGAATACCCGGCCAGGTTTTACTCTTTCTGACGTGCTATTTATCGTCTCTATGTTCAAAATAGCTATTGAGAAAATGGAAAATGAAAGTTATGCCAAAAGCAACATTCAAATGGCCCCGTTCTCTCCGGCGGGGTAACAACACATGTTTTTCTAACTTGCAAACCGAATAAACAGTCTAAAAAATAAAAGAAAAAAAGTATTTTGCGAGTTTGATTTTGTTTTGCTGGCGTGAGCTTAACTTAGCATTCATTTCACATCACCAAACTTCTCGGAACCCGCTGGGAACGAGCCGATGACTGAAATCAATCCGTATCATCGCATCACAAAAATAAACGTCACGTTTTCAGTGTTGTCAGTAGAGCCTCTCAGACCAAAATTAAAACGACAATACCTTCAGAAAAAAAAATATTGTTTTTTTGGGATACTATGATTGAGATCTGTCCATTAATATGTTAAACCACTATAAGGCAAATCAGTGACTGTCATGATGTGAAACATCTTATAGATGCTTCACATCAGGATATTATTGGAATGGTTGACATAGTGTCTATATGGATGATTCCAATAATCTCATGATGTGAAGCACGTGAAGCGTGTTGCAGAGAGCCGTTGTGGGACGTCGAAAACGATCTACGAAAACTCCGTAATGACACGCGCTCTCGTGTCGCTGGGCTCTCCTGTCGCGCACCCTGCAGTCGACGCTCTCGTGTCGTGCGCCCGCGTGGCGCCCTCCCGGCCGGCACTACCCAAGGCCTCCGAAACATTCTTCGCTCTCGCTTTTCAGACATCAACGAGTGCCACAACCGCTCCCTTTGTGGCCGCTACCACCGATGCATCAACACCGTGGGCTCCTACCAATGTGAAAGTCTGCTGACGTGCTCTGCTGGCTACGAACCCAACCAGAAAGGGAATCAGTGTTTGGGCAAGTAGAGTTTTAAGTAATAAACAAAGTCGACCGTTGCGATTATGCCTAAACAGTTGCATTTTAATGCACTAGACCTCTTAAAAACCCCAACAAGTGACATTGGCGGCCGCCATTTCTTGGGGTGACGTTGGGTGGTGATGTTTTTAGTTATTCTGCCCGATCCCCCCAAAGGCCATTCTGGTGATTTCCCACACCACCTGGTGATAGTTACGAAATTGCAGAGGGTAAGAAAATTGGCGAAAAAGACAAATCATACTTTTGGTTCCTAATTTCTTGGCTAGAGGGCGCAAGTTACCGCCCCTTATAAAGGGTACAGCCATCCATCTATGGGCATGAAGCTTGTGATTGGATCCGACTCCTTGCCGAACGCTGAAGCAGCACTCGTGTCCAGTACACGCTCGGAGTACGTGGCCAAACGGTGCCCGACTCGGATAAGTTGCGCAGCATCTAGTAGATGGCGCGTACCTCTGAAAAGGGTCTATTGAAGTGCGCGTTCCCCAATAATCGATGCCTCTTTCCTTATACGATATACGTATATTTCGCATATGCAGACGTTGACGAATGTGCCCTGGGAACTCATGACTGCAAGAGTGACCAGAACTGCCATAATACACCCGGAAACTACGTCTGCGAGTGTCCCATCGGTTTCCATATGAACACCTTCAGAGAATGCGAAGGTGCGTCGCCCAGTGTATATGTTCGTGTGTACGTACTTACGTGCTCGCATGCGTCCGTGTCTGCATGTGAACTGTTTTCCTAATATGAATGTACACGTGTGTTTATTTTTGGGTTTTCGCATTCGGTGTTTCGCCTGACTCAGTCGCAGACAATACTACGTGAAAACAAAGGACAATTGGAGCAGAAGCTGGTAATATAAACACAAATAAAAACCCTCTGGTGTCTCGAATTCACTGTCCGATTTCGCTTCGCTAGAGTTAGCTCTCTGAAGAGACTAAGTAACCTAATATAAGGCAGAAACAACAGAAACACCAGCCGTCTGCTTGTGCTTTGACTTTCCTCGTACAACGTCTGCTTTCATCTACGTTACCACCGTTCTTTCTAAAAAAATAAATCAATAATAGTAGTGATAATAATACCAGGGGACCACGATGAGGTTTTATGTGCAAGTCGGGAACTTCGTGACAACCTGCGATGACGTTTTCCTTGTTCAAATGCAGGGCTCGCATTGTATAAGATTGCATATGGTCGTAACTCAATCTCTAGGTTCTAAGCATAAAAAAAAACATTCAATTTATGCCTGCCCCTTTTCTATATTAAAATCAATATAAAAAGATCGACGCTAGATGGCACTATCGAACGAGGAAGGCACAGCCCTGCCCTTTCTCGTGCAATGGCGCCATCTGGTGTCAGCGATAGTTCCGAGGTGAGGAATTTTTTATAGCGAGTTTAATAGAAAAATCGGCCACGCATGAAAGTTACGTTTTTCTTTTAGGATGCTTAGAGCCAATAGATTGAGTTATGACCATAAACAGACTATGACAGAAAGTAGTTTAGTGCCCCTTTAATACTTGTAACTGAGGTTGCTACTTTCCAGCATGTAACTAACTGACTGAAGCGTTCGAACCTCGAAATAAGAAATCATATGATTAGTGTTTTATTTGGCTAGAATTCAAATTTTAACAGTAGGAGTTAGTAAGCTCGCCCAAAAGTACCATATGCTAACCCGGATTAAGTTTGTTCCCATGGAAACATGTCATTAGTCCATTCAGAGGCTAACCATTCTAATTATGACTATATTTACTTTTTTGTGGCCAAACGCTATCTGGATTTGTGCATGTAGGAACCTCTTGATTTTCATTGCTTACTTGTCTACGAACCCCTCACCCCTTTTTCCCGTCCAGACATTGACGAGTGCACACGATTTCGTGGAAAGGTGTGTTCAGTCAACTCAGACTGCACCAATACGCCCGGGTCTTACACGTGCGAGTGTAAGGACGGCTTCAAAAGAGGTGTCGATCCGAGATCGTGCATAGGTGAGTCGCGCCTCACGTGGGAGCTGTCTTTGACCGTATAATCCCGATAGATCGCCCACCTCTCTTTTCTTTTTACCTTTTCGCCGCGGGTGGTGGGCGTTCATACGGGATTTTACTGTAGACGAACCCGTCGCAAAATGTCGAACCCGCGATATTTCTCTGCAGATGTGAACGAGTGCGAGGACGAGACCGACTCGTGCGACCACACCTGTATCAACGTTTGGGGATCGTACCAGTGCACCTGCAAGATGGGGTACCGGCTAGCGGAAGACGGGAGAGCATGCATCGGTACGCAGAACACCAAACCCTTAATTATGAAAGCCCTTAGGCCGCGGTCACTATATTATACATATGCATTATACAAGAGACAGTCTGCAAGACAGTGTCTCATGCGTGTGTCTTCCTTGTACGACGGCCCTATCCCACTGGACATACAAAAAACTACCTACAGATAGGTTCTGACCATACAAGGGTGTATGCAGGAAACTGACATACTTCGATGAATATGTCGTGTCCACAGATAAATCTCCCATCATGTATGCAGCGAACAGAGTGTTTTTTTGTGCGTGTTTTTAGAAATTTGTAGAAAATTGGTTGCCCTATTTCTTATTCAGTTCTTGAAGATACTTCGAGCAGTGAAACATGTCCGAATACTTTTCCTTTTCTATGTCTTGACTGGAAGACAATGACAACCCCACCTCTCTAGAAATAGAATGTTGATCGATGTAAGAATGCGCGTACTACGAAACAAACGAAAGCAAAATAACTGGTGGCGTGTACAGACTGCAACATGTGTATGGAAGAGCGCGCGCTGTTCCCAATATTTTCATTGTTTTTCAAAAATGCTGTTATTTAAATTAATATACTGCCCTCGAAACTAAAAACTCTCCGTGTAGTGCGATATCAACATTTAGTACTACTGCAAATGCTTGGGCGATGCTGGCCTAATAGCGACAAAGCAGCGAAGTTGCATTCTCAATAACTGTGTCTCTCGCAGTGTAAGCATATTTGTGTCAGTCTATGGTTGGGCCCCAGTGCAGTTCTCAGGTCGATGCAAAAATGCTTTATATCTATCTGTATTTATAAGCCCTAATAAAACATGTACAGTTAGGGTATACATACGTAAAGCTGCCAGCCAATGTTTTTTTTTTTTTGTTTTTTTTTCAGACATGAACGAGTGCGAGCAGTGGAAGGGCCGTGGTCACCTGTGCATCGGCACTTGCGTCAACGAACCGGGCTCGTACTCATGCTCATGCCCCGAAGGCTACAAGCTGGGTTCGGACAAGAGGACATGCCACGGTAAAGATACGCCACTTGAGCATGCCAAGGGCAAGAATGACAGAAGCGGAAGAAAGCTCTTAGGCGGCAACACAAGAAGACATAGATATATATCTAAATAAGCTAAGGACAGCATAACTTTTTCTACCCTACGATAGGGCAGCACCGCTGTACAGCCTTTGTTGGTTGCAAAAAATGTCTCGTTGGAGCCGACGTTGTGCGACAAGATAGGTCAATTTAAATGAAAGTTTGTTGCGTTTTTCTCCCAAGGAGGTTATATGTTACTAAATGTTTTACCATCACAAATCAGTTCAAGTTGCTGTAAATTGTAAAGAAAAATTTAAAAAAGTGGAGTTTTCTTCTCTTTTTTTAATATTGGCGTGCAATTTTACCACATTTCGGAAAAAGAGCTGCGTTTCTGAATTAATAACACGACTACAATAATGGCTAAGCATAGCTTTTTTTATATATATATATTCGTAAAATGGCATTTAAACATAATCATTTGGATATATTTTGCATCGTCTTGTATGAAGCAGTCTGTTGGTAATTAATTTTTTTAATATCTGTCTAAAACGTGTTTTTTTGACGTGTTTCGTAAATGTTTTTGCCTAGAAATCTTTCATTGTAATTTTTAATATTATTTGTACATGTCGTAAACCTTTCATACAATAAGTAAAAAAATATTACTACATGCGTGCTTCAGTGTGAAATTGACGGTTGTGCAGATTGCAATAGCGAAACCTTGGTGATCTCCACGCCTCGAAATTTTATATCACCGGAAGACAATTAGTATACTAATTGTCTTCCTGTGATACAAAAAAAATGTTTTTTGGAAGAAGCAGACAGCCATATGCGAACGCCTTATAAGGCGTCCGCATATAGCTGTATGCTTCTTCCAAAAACATTTCTTTAACTTATATATATTTGTTTTTATAAAATATAGAACATATAACCAGGACCATAATTTCACTTTACATAATACAGAACATATACCCAGGACCATAATTTCACGATTTGACTTGCAAACACCCTACTTTAAATCTTCACTCTATCTTCCTTTCTCTCTCGCTTTCGCTAAAAATAAGAAAACGAGCTTTCTCGGATAATAATTTTCTCAACGTATCTCGTCTAAAGGGTGTCATATGCGCCGAGAAACTTAGCGGGAGGATACAAGAGAGTGCGGAGGAGTCAGAATGCCGAGCTCTGGTTGGAACGATCAGTGGATAGGCCTAAAGCTAGGTGCCCTTGTCTCCGTTGCAATCGTCGCGCGCATTAGAACCCGGAACGCCGGCGTCCGGCGTTCGGCTCTCGCATTCGAACGCGTTCGACGAGTGCAGTGGACAAAAAGGTAGCTAGCTTTAGGTCTACCCACTAATCGATCCAATCAGAGCTCAGCGTTCTGCCGTCTCCTCCGCGCTCTTGTCTCCTCCTCTCCCCCTGCTTCTCGCCACATGAACGTAATCACGTCCGAAGAAGTTCTCGACGCTTAGCCTTGAGGTTGGAAGGCTTTACACCGCACTCATCGTTCAATAAACTGTCGCCTCCTATTTTTTTTTCTTCAGATATTGATGAGTGCGAGCAAGAGGGAGTCTGCAACGGAGAGAATGAGGTGTGCCTCAACACGAGGGGAAGTTACCGCTGCAACGTCCTCGACTGCCCTCCCGGATACATCCGGGACACCGACCACAAGACGTGAGTCGTCGTTAACCTTTTGGTATCCGCACGGTCTCTTACAAATAGCCGACTAAAGGGGTATTCACACGAGGGAGAAATCCCGGGGATTTCTCCCCGGCAAGCCGACATCACGCGAAAAAGCCCCGCGTTTTTATCTCGCGATGCGCGCGTGCCGGGGAGAAATCCCCGGGATTTCTTCCTCGTGTGAATACCCCTTCAGGGGTATCCACACGAAGGAGAACTCCGCGGACGGATGTCGTGACGTCAACATCCCGGGAAACTCCGTCCTCGGCTCCGCCGCGTGCACCTGCGGAGCTCTCATGCTAAGAGTACGAAGCCTCCGCGCCTCCGCCCCGGAGGAGAACGGCGCCGCGAGGCGTCAAAAAGGGATGACGTATGTCTCATGTGATGCGCGCTCCGCGGAGGAAAGGGGCGGATTTCTCCTTCGTGTGGATACCCCTTTAAGACGCAGGACGCGAAGTACTGGTGCAAACTCGGAAAATTAGCGAAATTGCGTGGCAAGAACATGTGCGTCAAATGACACGTGGAGGGAGGATGAAACATGGCGACATGCGCGACCACAAGCGTCGCTGTGGTCGGCCATCCACGATTGGCCAAATAATCACTACACTCTAAAAAAAAAAAAAAAAAAAAAAAAAGCCCCTGCATTTACATTCTCGCAGAACCACTCGGAGAGTCAATAATCCCCGCAACTTCCGGAGGCAGCTAAGCGAATGACACAGTCAAAGCAGATATTGAGCCCAAAAAACTCAGTCTGAGTTGCGACATTCAGCAACGCAAGCGTGACATTTTGCATTGCTTAATGTCACAACTCAGACCGCATTTTTTCGTCCAAACTTATGTTTTGGCATCTTCATTCGCTGAGCTGCCTCCGTAAGTTGCGCTGATTTGCTCTCCGAGTGTCGTGCGGGAAAGTAGACGCACGGGCTTTTTTTAGAGAGTAGGACGTCTTGAGTAGGATTAATTATACTCGCATTAATGGAACTAAGAGGAATGCCGGACCGTCAATCTTGGCGGTGTTCGTTAAGGACGCGATGGCTACAACCTTTCTCCCTGCTTTTTTCACGCGCCGTCGAAATTGTTAATGACAATAGAGAAGCCTGGTTGTAACCTCAAGGACAGGAACCATTGGAGATAGCCACCGAAACATCTCGAGCGCCGAAATCTTTTGGTGGCGCCCTCCTATAGTTTCCTCTCGTGACGTCATTACCTTGCGAACAACAAGTTCGACGGTGTTTGTAATTAGCATGGTGGAAGCTTGAAATCCTTGCGCTCTGAAACAAACACTGCCAACACCGTCAAAATTGAAGTTCTTGCATTCCTCTTATTTCTGTTGATAAGAAAACATTTGCTCACGTCATAGTCAGCATTGGGGCCATCTTTGAAGGCCGACCAGCGACGCTTTTGATCGCGCACGTCGCCAATAGCCTGGACCTAGGCCAAACCAGGCTTGCGTAGGAAAACGTAATGGGGCTCTAAATGTGACACTTGTGCGAGAAAGTCGGCGACATCGCCGCGAACGCCATGACTGGCCAGAGCAGCGTTGGACCTTGGCTCTGGCCAATCGTAGCGGTCGGCCATTTCGTCGTCTCTCTTCGCCGAGCATCCAACTCTTGGCGACGTGCGCGATCAAAAGCGTCGCTGTGGTCGGTCTTCCACGATTGGCCGAACGGTGACTATGACGTCAGCAAAGGTTTTCTCGACGACAGAAATAAGAGTAATGTAAGAACTTCAATTTTGACGGTGTTGGCAGTGTTGATTTCAGATAGCAATGATCTCAAGCTTCCACCATGCTCATTATAAACACCGTCGAACTTGTTGTTCGTAAGGTAATGACGTCACGAGAGGAATCCATAGGAGGGCGCCACCCTGGAAATGCAGGCATTGGCTGCAACAAACGCGGCGACCACGGTGTTTACGACGTTGGGCTGTCGTTATTCAATCGCCTATTCATCAGATTGACGACTTAAGTTCCACCCTAGCCTCCTCTATACTGACAAAGCCTGGCAGATCAACACGAGAAGCGGCCGCCGATATGGAAAAGGTGGGGCTGCAGAAAACGCATAAGAGGGGAGTCACGTGAAAAGGCAACCCGCTGAGGCGAGACGCCGCAACAGACCTCTCCCGAGCGAACAAGTCTGTTTCGGGTCCTCGCCGCTGCAAAAGCTCTGCACTGACATCCAAATTCCCCGAGAAATCGCTCTTTGTTGCTCTGTGCTGCCAGACCCTCGCGCTCCAAATCTGCGGCCGGGCGATCTATGGCTCCCTCGTCGAACTGCCAGGCTTTTTGCGTATAGAGGGGGCCATGGTTTTACGGAATGTTGTACAGAACAGCGTCTCATCAGCAACGGTCTTTCCTTTGTAGCCGCTGCAAGCGCAAGGCTCGCGACTGCGCTCAGAGCAACACCACGTGTCTGGACCAGCCGGTGTCTCTGTCCTACAACTACTACACGCTCGTGAGCAACATGAAGATTCCGCCGTCGGGCAGGCTGGACTTCTTTACCATGAGGGGTCCCCGGTTCAGCTTCTCCACCGTCCATTTCGAGCTGGAAGTCATCGAAGCCACGGCTTCCTCCCGAGCGCACGGAGTTGAAGTGGCGACGAAGAATCACTTTCACATGCGGCGGACGGGATTCAACGAGGCCATGGTGGCTCTGGTTCGGCCTCTTCAGGGCCCTCAGGACATTCAGCTGCAGCTCCAAATGAAGATCTACCAGCACGGGTTGTACGCCGGCAACGCGGTCGCCAAGATTTTCATTTTTGTCACCGAGAATGAATTCTAGATCGGGATTAAATGTACAGACGAGGAGAAGTTCGGATGCTCCGTGCTGCTACTCCGTGCAAAAATGGCAACCAATTGTCGTAAAGTGAAGTACAGTGACATTTGAGGATGCCATCGATATGCGGTAAAGTTAAAACAAATGTGTGTATGCGTGTTTTTTTTGTTTTTTTTTTTATGATTCACAATCTATTTTTTTAGTCTTCGAAATGACGTGCATTTTAACAGAAGCATAACTCTGACCAAAGAAACCAAAAATAAGGCGTCATATTTGTATCATTTGTCATTAAACAAACATATTTTTACTTCCCTGGAAATATAGCTCCAGCTCCTACCGTTTCGTACAAGTGCGGTCTTTCTTCTTTGCGAATTAGAGAACGTTTTTGAAGTGTACTAGACAGCTGTATAGCATATCAGGGAAGTTGGAGAGGTTTAGCTATTCCTATTAAAAGGGGGTGGGGACTGGGTGTGCATCATTGCTTCATTGTGAACATATATGTCAGAACCCGAACCTGACGATAATTATTGATATTTTAGCCTCATGCAAATTGCAGTAAAGTACCGGTGTCACCAAACAACCAACGTGCTTTTTTTGTTTGATTAATATCCCCCATTACATACACGATATAGAGTGGAGCGCGCTCGCTGCATCGAGATCCGAAGGCTATATGGATACGGAGTCGCCATTGTGATCCTATGTTTTTTTGTTGTTTTTTTTTATAAATATTAAACGTTAGAAATATTTTTTTATTCCCTTATGGTTTTTATAAATTCCCAAACTTAAACTAGAGTTCACTCACTTTTCGAAAAAAGGTTAACGGCTCTTCAATTCAGGTAAAAAGTCAGCAAAGGGCACTTGAATCTAACACTAGCACAACGGTTCCTATACGAACTCATAACAATGCAAATTCAAGGTGAAAGTCAACGCTCTTATTACTTTAGATTATTCCTGCACATCACCTGCCCTGTCGTCCTCTAAGCTGCCAACCAAAGTTGTAAATACCCTTAAAAGTATCCGTAAATAAAAATACTGGGATACGTGACCGACAGCTAAAATACTGATACTGAAATACATTAATAAAAAAGGTATTTCGATATGTATCAAATACCTTTGTATTTAAAAAAAAGTATGTTGAAATACAAATAGATAAATACTAAAAATATTTTTGTTACTATTTTTGGTGTTATTACACTTCGTACATATGACTGTGTGCGCCCTTTAAGGTATACGAAAAAGAAAAGAAGAAGCACATATGATCCACAATACTCTAAACAATTATTTGAAGCCTTCTTTGAAACCGCGACAAATGATTACTCACCAAAAGATTCCGCGTGAATTCCAACGTTGACGTTTTTGATCCGAAAAATAATAAAGTGAGAAGCAATATAAGTGCTGAGTGTAAAAACACTCCCAACCAAAGTTGGAGTGCATTTTGTTTTTGCGGCATCTCTTATCCTTCCGAGAAAAAATCGCGGGGATGTCTAAATCAGTTTTGTGTGCCCAAGAATAACTTGGAGATGTCACCATGCCCTTGTCCAATCGGGGCTCCTCTCTCAGAACGATCTTCTGACGTCACGGTAGAATGAAACAGTGCTTTTTAATATGTATGTTGGACGGGCTGGCAACGCCCACGATTTTTTTTAAATCTTGAAGAATAGTCGGCGCTGAAGTCCGGGGCAGCATTTGTTATCTTTTCAGGATAGAGATAACTTCTGCGCGCAGCTATCTTTCGTCTGCTGGACCGTGGAACGCCTTCTGAGCAAGCGCTGTAGCTCTGGAGGTAAGGTATATACCAGACGCTGCGCACGCGTTCACGGCTCAGTGACTCAGCCTTTTTTGCCCGAGTGATAAGCGCTGGAAATTAGTCTATAGTCTGGGACAAGTTTGCAAAATAACAAAACCTCAGTGTACAGGGTGTCGCAAAAAAAAAAAAAATTACAAAGTTTTTTTTTGTTGTTGGTTTTTTTTTTTTTTTTTTTTTTTTTTACCGCAAAAATAAACGAAGCATCGCAAAACGCTCATTCTCCGCCCAAAGGTAGCGCTAGAAGTCACAACCAGATGCCAAAGTTTCAGCCCGACCCGATAACTTAATCAAAAGTTATAAGTGATTTTCTGGAAATTTCAATGGGAAAATGGAGCCCATATTTTAGCCCGTTTTCGGTTTCTAGTGCCATAGAGCCCCATGTATTCAAAAACTCCGTCGGCCGCCATTTTCCCATTGAAATTTTTAGAAAATCATTTATAACTTTTGATTAACGTATCGGATCGGGCTGAAACTCTGGCATCTGGTTGTGACCCCTAGCGATACCTTTGGACGGAGAATGAGTGTTCGGCGATGCTCATAGTTTATTTTTGCTGTAAAAAAAAAAAAAACACTATTTTTTTTTTGTGTGTGTGTGACACTCTGTACTTTTCGCACCACCCTTTTTCTTTCAACACACACACACACAAAAGTTAGCTTGAACTATTGTTTGGAAGGCAATAGTTCCTTTAAAATTGTAACGAGATACATCGGCCGCAGGATACCAGGAATATATGACCGAAAAAATGTACTTCCACATAGGAATACAATATTTACTTGAAAAATTGCATCGCGATAAAGAAATATAAATACAAAATGCATTTCTGAAATACTATCGCGATAATATTTATATCCTGATACTGCCCATCCCTGCTGCCAACAACTTGGCTGAAACATCCTTTAGCGACAGTGAGCGTTTTAGATTAAACTATTAGGTGTCGCCCCAACCTTTTATTGGCGAACAGTTTCCGTCGTCTTCTGTTTGTAGATCTCGGGTATCTCGCACCTACGTATGGTTTATTATCTGGAATAAAGCGGGCAGGCCACCGGACGTTTATATTTTGCTTTTCATCTGGTGACAATGGCACCTGGCGAATCCCACCTGCTCCGCAATCGCCCGATAAAAGCCTACCGCTCAATGAAGAGTTGCACGACTCCTTGTCTTATCGCTTCCCTTGCACCCAAAAAATCAGCATTACTGCAACGAAGCACTTCGAAGGTTTTTCGTATGTTTCCACAGGAACTTCGGGGATCGAACCAAGTACAAATCGAATATTCGCTCAATGTAAGGGTTTTCAAATGTAGAATGAAATATTCCGCAAATAAAATATGCAAATGCTTTGTTAAAACTATTAACTATTTAGCTGACTTTTCAAACAAGTTTCCCCAATACTTCATTCAGGTCAGATAGGCAATCTTATTTTACTTTATTTTTAATCAAATATTATAATATTTTTACATAAAATATTTCTATATTAGACTTTAGAAGGTATTAAAAATAAAACATTAAAAGAACTTGTAGCTATAAAATATGTTTTATATATTGAAATTTAGTAAGAAATGGAACATTAATATAAGTTTTATTTTTTAAGAAAATAAAATAATAATACAAGATTAATTTTAAGATTCCCCACAAAAAAAAAAAAACAAGTTTTCTAATAATTAAAAAAAAAGAAATAGGAGAGAGCCTTGCTTTTCGGGAAGTTTGAACGAAGCTGCCAAGAATAAGAGCTCAGTTCTGGTTGTAGAAACCCGAATCGCCTTTTTGTGCGTTGGTAGAAAGCAGTGGGCCCTATTTTTCGTTTGCAAACGAAAATACATGCTGCTTGCCAACAAGCCCGCGTGTGCCCACACTACGCGTGCGCAGCAACAAAATTCACGTGAGATGAAGCGCCTGCCCTTACGCAGTGCCAAAGGTATAGCGCCACCCTAGTGGTGTGACACCGAGAGTCGAGTTAAGGCCCATTCACACTCTTGCGACCGAGTACGAGATCTCTTACAACTTCTTAAATGTTTCTAGAATGAGGGGACACACTGACATTGTGGCGCCATCTATGCGGTGACCCTAGAACTGCATTTCACAAAAGCGAAGGTTTTGCGGGATTTCCGAGGTCAAATGTGCGTAATACCCATAGAAAGGCTCGTTTATAACATTGACAAAAGTTTTTCGAGCCAGAAAAGAAAGGATATTGCGCGAGAAATAAAAAAAAAATATGCCGGACCGCCGAGTTTACACTGCTTCCCAATAGATGGCGCCAGTGTGTTCTCTGGTTTAAGAAGTTTTAAGGAACCCAGGTTTAAGAGGTCGCAAGCAGTCGCAAGAGTGTGAACGGGCCTTTAGTGGTAAGCTATAGTCCGTTGAAACTCAAGAAGGTAGGGGCGAGGGAGGAGGAAGCAGACGGAAGACTGGAGAAGAGAGGGGAAAACCTCCTCTCCTCACCAGCCTTCTGCCTGCTTCCTCCTTCCCGGCCTTACTTTCCCTCGCCCTACCTTCTTGAGTTGCAACGGACTGTAGGGTAGTTCCTTGTTTTCTCTAAATACCGATAGACCCCGAAAACTAACCCCCGAGTCGGTTTCATCGAAATCCGAAGAAAACCAAAAACGCCCGAATTTAGAGCTGCCATTTGAATAGGAAAAGCCCAAGCTTCGTGCTCAACGCAAAATAAAGATCTACGGAGAGAGGTTTTCTTCGCACGAATCTTGGGCTTTTCCTATTCAAATGGTAGCCCTAAATTCGGGCGTTTTCGGTTTTCTTCGCTAGTACCCGGAACACAAACCCTAATGAATTAGCTGTCTGTGGGGCTGCTAGCTTTCCTCGAAATCAAACCCCGTCTCTCATATCATTATTTCATCGGTATACCGGCTGGTTTTCAAGCATTCGGTCTCGCGCATGTTACCTGCAGTTCGGAAACCCATTTTCTATTTTCCTCCCCAATAAACACCGATTTTTTTTTTTTTGTCCGACACCGAAATTGATACTGAAAAGCACCGCGCCTGTGGAAAAAAAAAACAAAAAAAAAACGAAAAGACAGGCCCGAATGCGACGATAAATATACACCGAAAACACGGAATCCTAGTGATAACATATCTTGGAGAAACGCTTCTCTCCGTAAAGGCCTTTACGGAGAGAAGCGTTTCATAAACTTGCGTTGAGTCCAACTAGGGTTCCTGTATAGCTACCTAGAGTTGCGCATTCGGCCTCGGCGAGTGGCCGTAGCGCCGGCTTCCCCGCACACCCTGGATGCTTTGCTCCTCACGTGACTAAATTTGGCGAATAGCGGCGCCGCGCGCGCCGCCGCGCGTGGAAAACAGGAGAGGAGGAAAAGGAGGCGGAAAGCAGGGAAACATACGCCGGGGCGCGAGAAACGTCGGCGGAGCGACCGCAAAGGTGGCTTTCTTGCACGCCACCGGATGCTTTGCTCCTCACGTGATGGATCTCGGCGAATAGCGGCGTGGCGGCGCGGGGAAAACAAATGCGCAACTCTGGCTCCCGTAGGGAGCCTATACAAGAACTCTAAGTCCAACCGAATGCGAGGGTTGCTAAGGCAGCAACTGCGTCGGCTGCAGGGAAGCCACCTTTGTCAGGCATCACGCCTTTATCTCTGCCCCCTACGCGGCAAACCCGCGAAACAAATAAAGAAAAAAAAAAAACACGTTTTTTTTTGTTTGATGGAGCCGACGCCTCTGTTGTTATAGCAACCCTCGCACACAGCCGAACTCAACGTGAGTGTGTGAACCGCCCCATGAGGGCAACGAGAGCAGAAGCGGTTGTGAAG